AACAACCAACAGCCCACGGGTGGCAGCTTGTTCGGCTCGAACAATCAACAGCAGCAACAGCAAGGTGGAAGCCTCTTCGGCAACACCAATAATAACCAGGGTTCAAGCCTTTTTGGCAGTTCACAGCAACAACAGCAGCAGCCAAACGCACTAGCGCCGCCGCCGGTCTTCAATGCATCTTTGATTGATCCTAACAACGCATATGGTAGTCCTTCGATATTTTCAGGTCTGCCACCGCCGCCAGTGGCGGTAGGCCCTATTGCTACTCCGATCAATATCAAGCAGAAGACGAAGAAGAATGCTGTCTTGCCACACTACAAGATGGCTCCAAATGCAGCCTCACGGCTCGTCACTCCCCAAAAGCGCGGATTCGGCTTTTCTTATTCGACCTACGGGACCCCTGGTAGCGCCACAAGCAATGCAAGCACGCCTGGCGGCCTCGGCAGCAGTTTGATGTTTGGTAGCGTTGGCCGAGGTCTCGGCAAGAGCTTGTCCACTAGCAACCTTCGTCGAAACTTGGACAGTGACTCAGAGAGCATTCTCACGCCGGGTGCTTTTTCTGCTGGAAGCTCCCGGTATGGCGGCGCAGGAAGCTTGAAGAGACTGACTATCGATCGTAGCTTACGCACGCCAGATCTTTTTGGTGACAAAGGTGCCCTTCCGGCTTTGCCAAGTCCAGAAAAGAGCGATCAGTCGAAGCAGCCCGGCATTTTGAAGAAGAAAGTCAGCTTCGATGCGAGCACTGTTGGTGGCAACGGAGAGAACCCGAACGGTGTTCAGGTCAATGGTGCCATCGCTGTCAATGGAGTAGATATGACAAGCTCGGCTACCCCCAGCGCCGAAGAGCAAGGCTTCCTCCGGACACCCTCACGAGGACAAGGTAGACTTGCTGGGGCAAAGTCAAATGGCGTCGTACAACAGCCTGAGATGGAACAGGTGAGAGGCAATGAGCTTGCCGTTGTCCATGAAGACGAGTCTTCAGAGCCTTCGAGCACGTCCAACGCACGAGCGCCTTTCCAAATGCCCCAAGACGATGAGCAACCAGGAGCTTATTGGATGAAACCATCGGAAAACGAATTACAAAAATTGCCCAAAGACCAACGAAAGCAAATCAGAAATTTCAGTGTTGGACGTAATGGCTGTGGCCGTGTAGAATTCAATACGCCTGTCGATCTCTCTTTCACAGACCTGAAGGAAATCTACGGCAATATTGTTCTCGTTGAGCTTCGTTCACTTACCGTTTATCCTGACCAAACCAAGAAGCCGGCACTAGGGAAGGGGCTGAATGTGCCATCTACCATTTATCTGGCAAACTCTTGGCCCAGACAGAAGGATAGGAGGACTTTACTACCCGAGAAGAGTGGCCCACGTTTCAACAGGCATGTCGATCGTCTTCGCAAGGTTGGTGGCACAGAGTTCGTGAGATACGAAAAAGACACTGGAATTTGGGTATTCAGAGTGCCGCATTTTACAAAATACGGTTTTGACTACGAGGATGACGACGCTAGCGAAGGAGAGAGCCTCCAAACAAGCATGCTAAGCGAACTTCCAGGTACTCCAACGCCAGTGTCACGGGCAATGAGGAATGATCGTACACCAACAGCAACCACTTCCACACAACGCTCTTTGACGTCCGCCAATGAGTCCTCCGGTATCAGCTCAAGTCCGGAAGATACTTTCGAGTTCCGGAAAAAGAAGATCTTGCCAGGTGCATTTGAGGACCAGGAGGAAATCTCTGACAACGAACACGATGGGATGGAACAAGTTCGCAACGACGAGTCTTTTTTAGATGAGCGCTTGGCCGCCTCGCCTTCTGATAGTGGCGAAGACGAGCCAAGCGAGTTACGACGTGTGAACGGTGGTATTGAAGATCGATCACTTGTGGTTCGTGACGAGGAACAGGATATGGAGATAGAGATGGCTGGAGCGTTTCCCTCACCCGATCTTGATGAAGCACCGCCCAAATCATTTCTCCAGCTAGGCTACGGTACGCCAGGGAAAGCAACGTTCAACGTTGGCGGTGACTGGGCCGAAGAACTACAACGCACTATCAGCCCAAGGAAACAGGACCGACAAGCTCTTCGTGAGACGCAGGTGCACTTGTTGAAGGATCGTGATGTGGATGAGGAAAAGACACCAAATGCGAAAAGGAGCGGGAAAGTCACAGGATCCAAATTGGCAACATCCATTGATTTGATGAATTCTCTATTCGGGCAGGAGCAAGCGCGGAGGGATGGGCGGAATGCCAAGCAAGCCACGAAGGGAAAAGTTGTCAAGGTCTGAACTCCTTCTCCAACTTGTTACCATCCACGTGGCCGTTTCTTCCGGCATGATATCCAAGAGGGTACCGATTGATTATGGATGGCTTCATATTTTTCAATGTATGTAGCAATGAATGGAAAGAATTTAAAGCTGAATTTTTGTTGCATTTAGTGGCCTTATTCGAAGAGGTCGAACATCAATGACGACGCTATGAGCAACATGACACCGGAACAACAACAAATGGAAAGAGAGTGGCGCGACTCTTATAAGCCAGCTTGGGGCCCTGGGGAGACATTACTCTACGCGATACCTGGCAAAGTCGGTAGCTCCAGCAACAAATCTGCACAAACAGACCCAATCTTGCAAAAGCTGAAGGGATCCATTGTGTCTGAAGGGAGGGACATTCGATTTGCGAAATTTGCGAAGACTCCTAATGTAAGCGCGTCTTGTTTTAGAGTCAACACAATCCATGCTGATCAAACGCTTAGCTCGTTCCAACAATTCTCGCACAGCAACAAGCTCGCACCAAGTTCTCCCTTGAACGCGGAGTACCGATGGCGAAGCTTCAACAGACCCCGTTCAAAAACATTGCGTCACTCGTCCAGCCACCTTCGCAGTATGAGCAATCTGTTTGGGAGCTCGCGTCCATTCTGTTTGATGATCAGAACTCAGAAGCCTATGGTGTGCCCGCAGCTTATAAAGCCACCTACGACCATCGCATCCGCAAAGACCGCCTGATCCATTTCTGGAAGCGACAATGCCAGGAAACGGCGATGAAGGCTGTCAGTGCAGCACCAAATGCCGAAGAGCGCGCCATCGCTCACCTCTCAGCAAACAACGTCGTGGAAGCTTGTGACGCGCTCGTGCAAGGAAGGGACTTTAGGCTGGCGACTCTGGTTGCCCAAATTGGCGGTGATCAAATCATGCGCGATGATGTGACTGCTCAGATTGCGAAGTGGAGGGAGCTGAACGTACTGTCCGAGATCACCGAGCCCATACGAGCCTTGTACTCGTTGCTTGCTGGTGACACCTGTGTCTGCGAGGGAAAGAAGGGCCCGACTGAGGATAGAGCAAAGACTTTTGTTATCAGTGAACGTTTCAACCTGGACTGGAAGCGTGCATTTGGGTTGAGACTGTTTTACGCCATCCTTGCTGAAGATACTATCGAAGCTGCCGTCGTAAAATTCGAGCACGACCTCCAATCCGACGAGGGCAAAAAGCCGGTCCCTCGCTTCGTTGAAGAAGAAACAGGCGCTCCGTGGGACGACCCCAAGACTGCCCAACGCGAGGACGTCCTGTGGGGTCTGCTCAAAATCTACGCCGCCTCCAAATCTGCGCTTCCTACCAGCTCTCTCGCAGGGATTTTGGCTCCCGAAAACATCACTGGCAACCCTGTTGACGCTCGCCTTTCCTTCCAGCTGTACCACGCCATCAACGCGCGCTTCCCTGCGATCGCTGACCCGTCGAAAGCCGACTATCTCGCCCAGACTTTTGCTGCTCAGCTAGACTCAGCTGGGGAATGGTACTGGGCTCTTTTCTCTCTCCTCCACCTCTCCTCCTACCGTCAACGCCACTTAGCAATACAGTCCCTCCTCATTCAACACGCTGAAGCCATTCCAAGTGACAGCAAGAGTGAGCTCTTCGAAACCCTAACAGAATTGTGCAAGATACCGGTCGCATGGATATGGGAGGCCAAAGCGTTGTATGCCCGGAGTGTCCTGCAAGATCATGTCCAAGAGGTCGATCTCCTGGTCAAGGCACAGGATTGGAAAGAGGCTCACGAGGTATTTCGAAAAGAAGTGGGCCCATCGACTGTGGTGGAGCAAGACTGGGACACGTTGCAAGGTGTGCTCGGCAGCTTCATGGACTGCAAAGAGCAGATTGCGGAATGGGGAATGGGTGGCCAGGTCTATGATGATTATCTGAGCTTGATGAAAGGGGTCGAGGGGCATGAAAAGGAAGAGCTGCTCCAAAGGCTTCTAGGCGCGCTGCCAATGATGATGCGGGGTGGAAAGCGGGACTTGAAGGAGACGGTTGCCGTGCAGGAGATCAGCGGATTCGTGGGCAAAGAGGTTCTGGCTATGAAAGAGAAGGTCAGTCGATCTACATTTCTGCTACAGTTAGACAACGCTGACGTGTTGGTGCCAGGGTATGGAAGGTGCCAGAGTCCTGCAGCTACCACTCACCGAGGACGCGTACTTGAAGCACACGATGGATCTAAGCTTGCAATACTACAAGGCTGTAATGACGGGTGGAAAATGAGCATGATGGACAAAGCGATCACTTGGTCGAGCAGGAGCGCTCGCTTCCAAGACGGAGGCTATTCAATTCTATCCAGCACTCTGGGGCAGCTATCTGGCTGTTTGCGTTTATTTCGGCGGTTGCAATGGCGCAGCGACTGGATAGCTGAGCGTATCAGTTCTCAGCATAGCAAAGCGTTCAGTAGATAGTGTTTAAAGGCTCATTACATCCAAAATCATGGTCCTCATGCAGCTTCTCGCCTGCGCCATAAAGATTGCCACAAAACTGCTACTCGGACGCTAAAAGATGAGCTCTGGATACCCTGAATGCTAGTCGAGGAAACTTACCCGAGACATATGTTTGCGCCGCAACACTAAGGATACACTCTTGCTTTCTTGACTCACTCATCTCTCTTCAGCCTACATTATGGATTGGAGGGTATTGATCGATATAGTAACGCTCGTTGAAGCTGCTTAGCTGCTCAGCTACCCTTCGCCATGGGCGCTCCCAATGGTAAAGAGCCATTGCCAGCACTGGGGCATTCAAGCGACTCCGATGGAAATTCCCAAGTACTTAAGCCTCATCCTTGTCCCTCGCGAACTTCTCTAATTGATCTGTTGTCAGATTCCCACACCCAAGTCTACAAGGACCACCTCCTTAGACCTTGCATCCAGCCCATCTAGCCAATCGAGCGCCACAACTCCAGGTCTAGAGCCCCAAACCTCTACTTGCTCCAACAAGCGCAACGTCGTCCTCCACCCTCTAGAAGTGGTACCTCGATCGAAACCGACTGTAGCTAAAGATGGTAAGAGGGAGTTTTTGGAGGACCTACGGAATTACATCGCTTTGGGTAGCTTGACATTAAGACCTAGCATCGGCGGCGGAGCCTATCTTCACCAGACACGTTGGAGAGAGTCAAGCGACATCTGGTTGGCTTTTCACGATTGTTGCGATCTCGAGGATGCTCATCCAGCTTTGTCCGCACGGACATTGGCCAATTGTAATTGGGCTCGGACTTTTGCTCGGAAGCATCAACAGAACGGGGATCTGGCTACCATAAGGGTTTACATTTTGCCTGATGACGTTGGAAGACGATATATCGACAGGGATAATGGTCACCTCCGGAATTACTTGATGAAGTTGTTGAATGGGCTTGACAGATCTCCTCTATCGTGGGAAGGGCGAAATCCATCTGAAAACCACCTCGAGCATTACAATGGAGAGTCAAGCAACGGCGACTCACTCTTTTACCTTTTTAACACAATACCTTCTCCAGCTGCACACCCTCCGTCCGTGTCATGTCCCATATCCCATGAAGCCATACAGTCCGTTCTTGAGTCCGATGAGCTGCGAGGTCTGAAGACCAAGCTCTATCCATACCAGAGGCGTACTGTCGCTTCGATGATCAAGAGAGAGGTCGAGCCCCGAAAAGCATTAGATCCGAGATTGCAGTCATTAGAAGGACCTACCGGACAGCCTTTCTACTATGACAGAGAGACGGGAGTCTTACTCCGCGACCAACGAACGTATGAGGAGGCGCGTGGCGGCATACTGGGCGAATCCATGGGTCTTGGTAAGACACTGATCTGTCTAGCCACGATACTTGCTACCAAGGGACATTGGTACGTACATTTCGGTGTAAATATTTCCTGTTTGGTAGCGTAACTGGGCTACATGCCATCTTTCGGGAGTAGAAAGCATCCTCATTCTCCAGACCTGTCTTATCGCTTGGTTGAGAAGCGGTACTTCGACAGCGCAAGGATTTTTCTACTCCTCAAACTTGTCTTGTTTCTCGGTTTCTTACCTAAAAAGAGCAGCGCTGATTCCAAACTTTGTGTAGGCCAGAGATACCTCCTGAACACTCGCTTGGATTACTCTCCGTGCGGCCGGAAGTTGGGTCGCTCATGCAGATGGCCGCAGCTGCTGTTGGTCGTGCTCAAGTACCTTGGAGGGCCATTTTCCATGATCTATCCCATGAAGGCGAAGACCACAAGAATTGTCTTGCTCTTTTGGAAGACAATGTTGGCTCCTATGTCATCTCTCCGTCAGTCACTAGACGCAGTCACCGCCCGTCACAAATACAGAAAGGAAAGACGATACACCTCACTACCGCTACTTTGATCATAGTGCCCCAGAACCTTTTGAGCCAATGGAAGGACGAGATCAGCCTGCATGTCGAAGAACATCTTCTCAAGGTGTTTTACCTCGATTCTGACACAATCACAGTCCCGTCAGCAGCCAAATTGATGAAATACGATATCATCCTCATGTCGAGACAGCGATTCGAGCGAGAAATGGTTCCCAAAGGGAGCGCAAAGGCGCAGTCCAAGTCCAAGTCCAGGTTCAAAGGTGTGTACGTCGCGAGCAAACGTTCCCTCTTCTGGGCCAATTCACGGGTCGATCACCCCTTGGGCTGTCTCAGTATTCGGCTTTCTGCTTTCAAGAAGGATGGCTGACTCGAAATCATGATAGGTGGCTGTAATTGCTCACTGGACGAAGATTGTCACTGCTCCGCAGAAGAGCACCAATCGCCACTAATGGAGGTCCACTTTCTACGAATCATCATGGATGAAGGCCATGAATTCTCCTCTTCTGGACGCAAAAACAGCGCCTATTGGGCACTACAGAAGCTTTGCGTGGATAGGAAATGGATTGTAAGCGGAACACCTGCGAGCGGACTTTTAGGCGTTGAAGTTGGGACAGCTACCTTCGAGACTTCACACTCTGCGGCTGATGACGACCATCGTTTGACCAATTCAGACCTGCTTGAAGCCCGAAGGAACGAGTCTGCGCTAATCCAAGAACGCAAGGACCTTGAGAAACTGGGCGTCATTGTGGCGGGTTTCCTGCAATTAAAGCCATGGGCCAATAGCAAGGAGCATGATCCTGCCTCATGGTCCAGGTACATCATGCCTTACAGTGATGGAAGAAGGAAAGCTAGATCATTGAAGACACTACTAAACAGTCTTGTGGTGCGTCACCGCATTGAAGACATTGAAGCGGATATTCAATTACCTCCATTGCACAACCGAGTCGTCTATCTGCAACCAAGCTGGCACGATAAGCTCAGCCTGAATCTCTTCATACAAGCTTTAATCGTGAATGCAGTGACTTCCGAGCGCGTTGACGAAGACTATATGTTCCACACAAAGAATAGACGAGAACTTAATAAGCTGATCAACAACTTACGGCAATCGGGTTTCTACTGGACAAGCTTTTCTCCAGGTGATATTGCCAAGACCGTCAAGGTTTCGCGAGCATACCTCGAGGAGCAACGGAATCCTGACTCTGTCTACTACGAGGCTGATCAGCTACTACTGAAGCAGGCAATAGAAATTGGAGAGGTTGCATTAGAATCTCCATCATGGAGGTCATTTGCTGACCTGCATGAGATGGGGATGTTCGTTGAGCGTTTCCCTGACAATGCTCGAGATGCTTGGTCATTGGTACATCGAACTGGAGACGAGCTTCTACTTATCGGAGCTACGCAACTTAGCAAAGCTCAAAATTGGGTGAACTCCCATCTTCATGTAAACAATCCCTCGCATGGTCTCGCAGGGGTGGGGACCGCCACCATGCAAAAGCTGTGGCACGGCGTACAGCAGCAAGCAGTGCAAATACTTCCGGACATTTCTCTTGATGGGGAAGACAATGATGCTGGAAGAAAGTTTAAGAAAAAGTCGAAATCGGGAATCAACGGAACGCCGAAATTGACCGAGAAGCAGACTGTATCTCGTGCAAAAGCCAGTCCGAGCCCTCGACAGACCAAGAATATCCAGTTCAACGCATCAGATTCTAGCAAGCCAATAAGTCTTAAACCCGCTCTTAAGTCTGCTTTCAAGTCATTTTCGAAAGAGCAAACCACGGATCCATTTCCACCGGACTCCCCTTTAGGAAAGAGCACAATCAGTGGTACCGCATCCGCCAAGCTGAGCTATTTGCTCGATAGAGTCGTCGCACTCCACCAAGACGAAAAGATCCTCATTTTCTATGAAGGCGACCACATTGCGTACTACATAGCTCAGGCCTTTGATCTTGTCGACGTTCGGTACCTGATCTATACTAGAACGCTTTCTCTGGCACGTCAGAACGCCTACATCACAACGTTCAACACTACCGAGACTTTTCGTGTCCTCCTCATGAACGTGTATCAAGCAGCTCACGGTCTTCATATTGCCACTGCATCTCGTGTGTTTTTCGTCAATCCCGTCTGGCAGCCTAATGTCGAAGCTCAGGCGATCAAACGTGCCCATCGTATTGGACAGGTACGGCCGGTTTACGTAGAAACCCTTGTGCTGAAAGACACTTTGGAGGATCATATGCTACAGAGGAGGAAGGGTATGACTGCACAGGAGCATCAGAAGGCCGAGAAGAGTTTGCTGGATGACGAGACCATGAGTACCATTATCAAGAATGCCCATTTCATACCGTTTACGAAGGACCACATACATGATGCCGACAAGCAAGTAGCAAAATTGTCGGCCCCTCAGCAATTGTTTGGGCGAGTTGCTGCAAGTGAGCGAAATCTCGACGATCCAGACGCAGATCTGATTTTGGACTCATCGCAGTCGAAGAAATCGAGTCGGAAGCGGCAAGTTGACATTTTGATGTCTGACTATGCCCCGGATCTGAGAGAGTCGCCTCCTCCAAGACGAAGCTCAACGGATTCCAATCTTCACTTTAGTGTAGGAACTCGTCTGGCGGAAAGCTCAGCGGCCCCCGACATGGCATACCAACAGAAAAGCGACTTTGAGCATGCTTCGGAGCTGACTAGACCGCCATCTCCCAGAAGAATGGCGGCGAATATGCCCATTCGAACTATTGGAGAAGCTAATGCGCCTGAAAGCTCGACAGCTCACGACCCGTTCCGCAAGCGAAAGAGCGATTCTGAGTATGCCCCAGACCTCACAGCGTCACCACCTCCTAGGAGAAGAACACTCACTTTCCGCACTTCTGGCATCTCTGGTTCCACGGAGAATGATGTGCCGGCAAGCTCGACAGCCTACGATTCAGTGCCGGCGTCAACAGTAATCCCGGTGCATCAGACCCCATCAACCACGGTCATGGCTGATGCCCGTCCTCCGAGAAGAGTAGGCTTCGACTTGGGTAAGAGAAGGGATGAGCCCCAAAGCTTGTTTGGCGGAAGTGCTTCCACTTCCTAGGGCCGGAATTGTTTTGGGGAGTGTGATGAAGTTATGATTGATGTGCATGATCATTGGCGTTTGGGGCGGCATGGCATCTGGTTCATGATGATACCCCGGAAGTCTGCATTGTAAGATACAACAAGCTATTGGGGAAGACCTTCTCATGCTCGTAGTGTATTCATAAGATAGAAGGGGCAGTGCTCCGATACTATGCACATGACCTTGTACCAGAATTCCCCGCGTGCAGTTTGGGTCCCATATCACCTCTTTCGCCTAAGAACATTACCACTGCTACCGAGGCCTACAATTCTGCATCCGAATCCAAGCATTGAAAAGCATGAAAGCAGAACCCTTTTCGTGATCCAAGCTTCTACAACCTGAAGACACCCACGGATATATCATGACTAGCTCTCCCCTCCCCCCCTCCTTCCCAACACAATTCCGACCTCCGCATTCTCCACTCCCCACTCCACATTCCACCCCCACCCGCACTCCCATCCCCCCTCCTCCGATCAGGCGCCGCTTCGTCCGTCCACGGGTTCCCATACTCGAACGTCCAGGGGTAAGGGTTGGCGCGCTACCAGTCCGTGGCGGAGCCGCCTTTGGCGACCCGGTTGCGGTGGATGGAGAAGGCGGCGCCGGCGACTGGGATGAGGAGGGTGGGGATGGTGAGGGCGAGGGTGAGGGGGGGGAGGTGGACATGGGGTTTTTTGGGGGAAGGGGGGGAGGGAGAGAGAGAGAAGGGGGGGGGGAAGATGGTTGTTCTTTGTAGATAAATGAGGTGAGTATGCGAGGGAAATAATGATGCTGCGATAGATGAAGGTGGAAAACTGGGTGCGATACCTGCCTTATTTGGCATCGACCGTGGAGTACTGTGTGGTGAAAGGTCGCAATGCGGGATTCAAAAGACGTCAAGCGTCACAGCTATTTCTGGTCTTGATCGTGGTGTGGCGCAGACCGACGAACCGTGACGTCTTTGATCCTCAAGGGTTGCCGTTAGAGCGCGACGAGGAAATGGAAAGGAGACTGTGCAAGGTGAGCCACGATGAGAAACACCAAGTCGGAAAGCGAGGACAGATTTCTACGACCACGGTCGAGCTGAGGTCTTTTGAAACGATAATGCAATAAACCATGTTGATGCTGGACCCGGACGACCTTCTGTCGCATCTTCGACTCCCATAACGCCAAATCGCTATGTACACTCTGCTTCTTGAAACATTACTGGCCTGGAGCAATGAGCATGCCTTGTTTCTGGGCGTCGTGAGCCCATCCACCTGCTCTTGCTTCACCGCCATGCTTCTCGGCATAACCCTTGACTCTTTGCTCAAGCTCAGGTCTGAAGTGACGTACTAGACCTTGTAGTGGCCACGCGAAGGCTTCGCCCAAGGCTACAGAAAAGATCAGTATATGCTTGTATTGGGGTAGAATAAGTTGGGAGAAAACGTACCGCAAATTGTGTGCCCCTCAACCTGTTTCGTCAACTCCTGCAACATATCAATCTCTCTTGCTCTTGCTTGCCCAGCCTCGAATCTCTTCATGATTTGCTCCGTCCATTTGCTGCCCTCTCTGCAAGGCGTGCATTGTCCGCAACTCTCGTGTTTGTAGAACGATGCCAATCTCGATATAGCTCTTACAACGTCCGTGCTGTTGTCCATTACGATGACTGCCGCCGTGCCCAACCCTGACTGGCTATCCTTGAGGGCATCAAAGTCCATCAATTGTTCATCGCAGGTTGTCTTGGGGAGAATGGGCGTGGAAGAGCCGCCAGGTATGATAGCCTTCAGATTGTCCCAGCCGCCTCGAACGCCGCCGGCGTGCTTATCGATGAGCTCCTTAAGTGAGATTGACATTTCTTCCTCGACGGTGCAGGGGTTGTTAACGTGACCAGAAATGCAGAAGAGCTTTGTACCAGCATTACGCTCGCGTCCGAAAGAGTTGAACCAATTGGCGCCACGGCGTACGATTGTAGGAGCGACAGCAATAGTTTCGACGTTGGCGACCGTGGAAGGGCATCCAAAAAGACCGACAGCGGCTGGGAACGGAGGCTTTAGGCGGGGCTTGCCAGGCTTGCCTTCCAGTGACTCTATCAGAGAGGTCTCCTCGCCACAGACGTAGGCACCCATCCCTCGATGGATGTACACGTCGAAATCATATCCACTGCCACATGCATTCTTTCCAATGAAGCCCGCTTTATAAGCTTCTTGGATTGCCCGCTGAAGTACTGTTGCCTCGTGATAGAATTCTCCTCGGATATAGATGTAGGCTGCGCTGGTATTCATTGCTCGGCCGGCGACTAGACATCCTTCAATGAGCTTGTGTGGGTCTTTCCGCATGATCTCTCGGTCTTTGCAGGTTCCCGGTTCACCCTCATCAGCGTTGACGACTAGATAGCGGGGCTTGGTATCCTTGTCCCAATCCTTGAAGTTCATGAAAGACTATGGCAATCAGCATGCGCCTTAGATATAATACCAGTAGTCGTAGCATCCATCCTTACCCACTTCATCCCAGACGGAAATCCAGCGCCACCTCGACCTCGGAGGCCCGAGGCTTTGATCTCAGAGATAATCTATTATTCTCGGATTAGCATTTGGATTGACAGACCAGAGGCCCATGCCGACAGACCCAGTCATGACCTTTCAGTATTATCTCCTTTGTCTTATACCAGTCGCCGTACTTCATTGCACTCTTCAGGTCCGCGCCATGATGCCCGTAAAGATTCTGAAATATCCTGTCCTGGTCTTTCAATCCACCGAAGTGTGTCCTCTTAGGTGGTTGTGCCGGTCCATCTTGGACAGTAGCTAAGCCTCGGCATTGCTGTCGTTTTGGTGTAGGAGCGGATCCATTGACCCGGGAGGCGGAAGTGATTGAAGGGTGTATGTGGTGACAAAGGACACCGAGGGGTTTAGGTGGGGCAGCCCGCGACGAGATCATTGTGATGACTATGGAGAAAGGCGAAAGGTAAGGAATGGTTGTTCAACGGTGAGTGGCCAAAGTTTTACGGACAATGTAATGGAGGTCATGGACGGAGATAAGCGAGCGTTGATTGGCTGACAATGGATCACGCTACAATGACCACCCAGATTCTCCAATACTTGAACTAGTCCTCCTGGGAAAGCCATATAATTTTCACAAATACATCTACACTGGGGGACCGAGTCCAGACGCCAGAAAGGCGGAGAAAGCCTGATATGGTCAGCGGCGCACGTCCTCCTAGCATACCTACAATCCCATCATTCACTACCCTGGTATTTCAGACGTCTGCTGCATGATCCCTTAAAATTACACCCTCTTACAAAGATGCCTATACCAAAGGATTCGACGAGCTTCACGGATACAATGGCAGATATCCTCCGCTTGTGAGAGCATCATCCTCAAGCATTGTATGCGCATTTGGCTGACGCCCAACCTTGAGACCTGATGAGACTCTAGCCATGTCCTATGTCTACCTCAACAGGTACCAGCGGTTTCAGAGCTCCTCGACACCACCGGATCCTCTAGACTCGTATGTCTGTCTCCCGCCGGATTCGTCCTCGCTCAACCTCTACGACCACTGACGAAGGCCTGGCCTCCTCAAGACATTGGCCTTAGCATGCCTTTCCCTTGCATCAAAGTCGACTGAAAGCCCACGAAGGATGCGAGAGATACTCTTTCCGGCCCACCGTCTGCTTCACCAGCACAACGGAGCCTCTTCGGACCCTATCGATCAACCCTTAGCAGTGCCCTCTACTATGTACGATTCTCTTCGCGCAACACTTGTTCAAGCGGAGCTCATGCTCCTGCGAACACTTGGCTTCGAATTACGCATTCCGCTGCCTCTGGACTACCTGCCGCGTTATCTCGAGCGTGCAATGGGGGATGTTGCAGGTGCAAGTGAAAATTATGACTCTTGGGGAAACGAAGACAAAGAAGAATATGGGGTTGTGAAAGATGCCATGGACACATCCTTTGGAAGGGCCTGCAGAACCAAGGCTATCATCGCGTGAGTGAATAGATGGGAGCTCAAGACGTGCATTGAAAAGACAGCTGATATTTATGTTACAGGTGCAAGAACTACCAGTTGACCAATCTCTTTCCAGCAAGGGCCGTTGCGCTGGGTTGTTTACACGTCGTCATGGAAGAGAGAGGTTTGAGGACGGCCAACTCCCGAAAAGAATGGGTAGATGACATTGCGAGTCGCAAGGTGGATATTGATGATTTCGAGGAAGTAGTGGAAGTATTGACAAGGAGTTGAGCTCATCGTATTCATCATGTAAAAAGAGAATGGATCAAGAGATGCTGGTACAATGTTTCGAATTGACAAGACATTGCTTGCAAGTTACCTATGCCAGCCCCTCACGTGCGAGCGTTGGCGTTGATACCAAGCTTTTGCGGCAAGAAAGCTTGGTCGACGGCAAGCCTAAATACTCGTACTGTGGTACTCTAGGTCCGCGAGGAATTTTGAGACGTGTATCAAATATTTACCCTACTGCTCAGAGTTAGATTCAAACAACTCTTGACTCTGATGTTGCTTATCGTCATGGACACGGATACTCGCATTATTTGCTTCTCAACTTCATCTATTCGCGGCTGACTCGGCAAGAGTTCCCCGCGTTGACCAGTCTCTTTCCGTGTATGGCGCAGCTGACGTATCCTTGCTCTTGTTTTTGCCCTCACCATCACACCCATCGCCTGTATCAGCTTCACCATTATTCTTGGACTTTTCATTCCTAACCCATGTACTATACTATGATAATGATATATACGACTGATGATACTACGATCTAGCAACGTGCCCAGCAAATGTTGCTTCAATCTTCTTCTAAACAATACTGTCATGCTTTCGAGGAGATAGCCAAGTGAGAACCTCGATCGTTCGCCTCTCCGCTGAGGTACCCTCGGGACAGGAGAGCGCAAAGGTCACCTTACTGCCAGTTATGCTCTCCAGCTTTTCAACTCGACCAGCGCACCACCAGGTTCCTTCCAAACTGATCATCCGATCAACAAGTCTGGCAGCGGTCGTCATCGTCAGCCTATGCAGCATCCTCTACCTCAAACGTTCCTTCTCCACCTATACCGTTAAGACCAAATTGGAGCGGTTACTCCCCGGTGTATCCGTCAACACAGAGATCAAGCTACACTGGAACGATTCCCCTCGCCGATTGATCGTTTTTGGTGACTCTTGGAGCGACAACGGTCAATACCCCGTCAATCCACCAACGCGCGAGCTGACGCCCACACGAGATGACGCGCAAGGCAAGATCTGGACAGATTGGCTCTGCTCCAGCGTGAGTCTCTCGGAGTGGTCCTGGTGGTCGATCGCTGACGTACCTTCAGATCTCGTGTACTCATCATGACAACTTTGCAAGATCGCTACCTCATGTATGGGACAGTGGGTACAGTGGTGCAGTCGTTGACAGCAATTTACTAAACAGCACCTTGTCGAATACTACATTATCAAATAGCACCTTCATCACAGACATCGAATGGGCCGAGCCGCTCGCAGATCTGAAGGCTCAAGTACAGCACTGGCTGGCATTCGAGAAGAAGCAGTATGCCAACAGCCGAGTAAGCGAAGTTGAGCGAAGTGGAACGGTTTTCATCGTCTGGTTCTCATTATGGGATTTGTGGTATTACTCCGAAAAGACCCTTGCAGAAGCCGAAGCCGCTGTGGCAAAAACCATGGACGCGCTGTTTGAACAACTCGACGTGATCGCGGAGAATTGGCCTTCGGAGATGAAGCTCATCATACCCGAAGCCATCGATACCACGTTTTTACCAGGCTGGCACACCATGAGGACTGGCCCTCGGGGCTCAGATCCCCTCGGCGAAAAGCAGAGGAGCGCCGTTCTTCTTGTCGAGCAATGGAATCGAGGGTTGGACATGAGGGCTGTCAGGTGGAGAGGGGGCTCGATGTACATCTACAACACCAACGAATGGCTCCTTGATCAGGTGCGTGAGCAACAGCTATCCACTGCACACTTGAGCGATGCCAATGGCATGGGCGCCAACCAATCTCCATGGAACAACGTGCGTTCTGGCTGTGTCGCATCCAATTACAAAGCCTACGACGTGCTGGGAGAGGATCCGACTGCGGGTCGCTGCTCTGATCCGACCACATACCTCTTCTGGTTAGTTCATCTGCCCCAATTCTGGCGCAGCCTTGCTAAAATTGAGTTAGGGACGACATGCACTTGGGGCCTGAGGCTATGAAAATGATAGGACAAGGCATCGCTCAAGACATCGCTGCGAATCGCGCCACATCTTGGTTTGCCCACGCGGTAGAGGAGTCATATGAAGATGAAGATGAAGAAGCTCCGCTACCTCAAGACCCTCATCCTGAAGATTCACCTACGTAATGACAAACAACCTATAAAAAGGTTGCAAGTATGTATTTCATAAGTAACGGCATTGACTCCAATGGCATTTTCAACTCGGAAAGGATTTTGACGAAAGCGTATATATCGCATTAAATGATACCCACTGTATGTACAAAGCACGAGACTGAAAATATGATGGAGCTAGCCGATGATTGTTTGCCTTGAATACGCCTGCCTACGTACATTCTTTGTCGCATTCTTGCATTTCCTTGGTAGGAATGTCTCATCAAGCCCACTTCCGTGTTCGGCAGAGACAATGAACAAAGAAAACGGCTTCAGGATTCAAGCAAATTTCCGCAACCGACCACTAGAGGCGCGAGGCAATCAAGACTAGCTTCTCCAAGAGACAAGGCATCAAAAGACGCTATGACGAAGAAATGGATGATGCAGACAAAGAAACCTCTTTTGCTCTACATTCCACTCGTTTTTGACAATCCTCATACACGATTGCAGACTTGCATTGCCAGCATCAAAGCATTATAGGATTCCTTCCTTATCAATGTCAATGTGTCTTTTCAAATGTCCTTCCATCGAGTACTGCCTCTACTCCCAGCCCTCTCCGACCAAGCACTCAGAGACCGATGGGCCATTCAACCAGATACCCTCATAAGCTCCAAGATCATGCCCGACGAGACGCCGAAAGCTGCAGCGAGTGAAAACCAGTCTCCGACCCCTACTCCGAGAAGCCTTTCTTCCCCGCCAGAAGAAGGAGTCCAGAAATCACCGGGCGAGGAGTCACTGGAGGACTACGAATCACCGAAGTACCGTACTCATTCCTTGTCCCAAGCAGCTAGGACCAGCAGCCGCCCTTCCAGAACTGAACAGTTGTCGGTTCCGAGGAAGAGTGTGGTAGAGAAGTGGCAAGAAGATTCACCAAGCTCGATCTGTCTCTGTCAGCCGGACCCTAAGGTTCCACGACCAAGAAACGGTACTTACCTCACATTCCCACATGCTTCCTAGTTGCGGTCGTCTACTTCCTCATTACCCGTCTTTACTACTGTCACTGATTTGATGGTGCCTATTGACTAATATCCCTATTCTGCAGCTTTTATCCTTTACCGCCAGCACCACCAACAGGCCGTAGTCGCTCAGAATCCGGGTCTCGCGAATCCTGAAATCTCGAAAATCATCGGCGACCACTGGAGAAACTCATCGACAGAAAACAGAGATCATTGGAAGCTGCTAGCAGAGGTAAGAGGACGATCTGTCCCAGTGCAACACACATGGTGCTGATCTCAATCAGGAAGAGAAACTCCGCCACCAGAAGCAATACCCTGACTACAGATATCAGCCACGACGTAGCACCCGCAACAGCTCCATCGCCGGTCCCGCAGCGAACTCGGCTGAAGGCGACCAACGCAGGTGCCAAAAGTGCGGAGGGCGCAGCATCGCCGCATCCACCATGATGTCTGGTCCGGGATTCCCGAACCCAGCGACGCCATACTCCCCGAACCAACCTCCCAACTCCGCCACGAGCGCCGGCCGCTTCATGCGAAGTCTGGGCAGCCCTCCTACCAGCAATCCTGCGGGCAACCCCGCCGCCGGATACCGCCATCGCCCATCGACAGCCAATGTTGCATCGCTCACCCTGAGCTCCCCACGGTACAAGCGCCAGGACTCCGGACAGCCCTCGCCGCGCTTCAAGCGCCCGGAACCGAGCCAGATTTCTCCGAGAAGCCCAGATCCCAAGCGTCGCCGGGTGACCAACGCCTCCTACGCCCCCGTCCGGGCCGCCAACAATCCGACGACGCCCTTCCCCTTCCCCACCGGCCAGCGGCGCCAATCCCTCCCCCGCGCCGACTTCATGGGCCCCAGCATCAACAGCCCGTTCACAATGGGCCCACCTCCACGCCCACACCACACCCAACACCACCCCGAAACCTCCCTCACCCTCGCCCCGTTCCACAACCCCCAATCCGGCGGCAGCAGCAACAACAACAACAACAGCAACAACACCATAGGCATCGACACGCAAGCCAAATCCCTCGAAGCAATGATCCTCTCCATCCCCACCCTGGGCAAAATCCGCGTCCTCTCCAAAATCTCCCCCCCCCTGGCGCCCCCTCACCCCGCGTCCCCCGCCGCCCGCCGACCCCGCGGCCTCGTCGTCGCCCTCGACGCCGCCGACCCCGCCGCCCTGGACGCCCTGACCGCCACCGTCGAAGCGGCCCTGTCCTCCCACGCGCCCCGCGTCTTCCGGACCCCAAAACCCCCGCCCGACGCGCCCGCCACCTTCCAATCCTACCTCCGCCTCATGGACGACCACCACACCCTCTCCGCGCAAATCATCGACCACATCACCACCACCACCGTCACCACCACCGTCACCACCACCGAGCGCGACGCCGACGCCCCGATGGACTCGCCCTCGCCCGTGTCGCCGAAATCGTTCCCGGCGCCGAAACCCGCCGCGGGGCCCGAACACCCCGGGATCCCCGTCGCCATCGTGCCGGGCTGGCAGGTGACGTGGAGCGACTGGTTCGCGAGCCGGGTCGAGATCCGGGACGCGTACAGCCCGATGGACCACTGGCAGTGGGGCGCGACGCTGTGGCGGAACGTGGTCGGGGCGGACGTGACGGTCGCGGTGCAGGCGCCCGTCGCCGTCGCGGCGGGGCCGGAACCGCCGTCGTCGTCGTCGCCGGACGGGACGGCCGCGGGGGAGGGGAAGGGCAAGGGGGCCGGTGAGGCGGCGGTGAAGGAGGGGCCGAGGGCGGGGCACGAGAAGGGGAGGAACGGGGGCAGTGGGGGCGGGGGGGTGGGGGGCGGGGTGGAGGTGAGGTTGGAGGAGGCGAGGGCGGTGATTGTGAGGGGGGAGAGGGACGGCGGGGTCGCGGAGGGGGGGTTGAGGAGGGTGGGGTTCGAGATTGGGGAGTGGGTGAGGGGGTGGGAGGAGAGGGAGGAGAGGGCGGCGAGGAGGGGGAGTTAGGATGGTGGGAAGGGAGGGGTCAGGGGGGGGGTTGGATGGTGGTGATGTACTTTAGAAGTCTTGGTTCGTTTTAATAGCATAGCGTTCTGGATTGTTAGACGCTTCGAACGTGAATGGTCTTCGGAATATATTTCATCTCCGTGAGCATGTATTGTTCTGTACTTCTCTCTTTGGATGGCCTGGATAGCCGTATATGCATCTCAGATATTTTCGGCTGTCGTCAACCTTCTGAACTGTGAGCTCCCTATGTGACACAAACAACAAAGAACTCCGGGGATATCATGCATGCCTCTCGCCAAGGGCAATCCACAGTACGCCTGACCCATGCACTCGTGTCATCATGCATAGAATACAGTCAAGGTTAACTCGACTCGGCCTATTCAATGCTTCTTCTTGCCCCGCTGCAGTTGCATGCTAGCCAATGAATGGTCCGAATGAGAATAGATGGAAAGAAATTGACGTCCGTCATGGCAGGAGTGACGCATCTGCTTCGCACTGAACGATATAGGCAAGTCCAGTCGTTGTTTTGTCGTGGTTATTGTACGCTAAGGAATTATCGCTTCTTAGCACCAATGCCATTGCTCAGCTTCGACTTTGCCGGCCTTTTGGGGGGAGGGGAGGTTTCCGCGTCACTCGAGTCGGTATCAATGGAGTCGTGGTCAATGTCATCCTCCGAGGCTTCGTCAACTGAGTCGTTGTCTGTCGATGAGGCTTCTTCGTCGAAGAGTCCCTCCTCTTCGCTCTCGCTGTCTTCATCCTCTGCATCAGCGGTGCCATTTATAGTCGTGGGCATCTCGTCTTCGCTATCCTCCTCGTCGCTGTCTTCGTCACTGCCAATTGTATCGTAATCTACCTCTCCGGTCAAGTCTTGACCCTTCACTCCGGCTTTCGACTGCGGTGAATCACTTGCGTTCTCCGCTATCTGGTCCTGCCCTTCCTCTTCAGAGCTCGACTCTTCCTGCCCCTCCACATAAATCACGCCTTCCTCATCGTCCTCGTCAATAGCATTGGCTGCCCTTGACCGCGCTTGCATGCTCTTCCTCAAGTTCATTTGCGCCTCAAGCATATCCAGCTTGCCCTTCAATGAAAGCAACGAATGCAAGCTATTTGCGCGGTCTTTGACAACACGATGGAGTGACGCGAGCTTTTTCATGACCTCTGGCTGCCCGGCGAGATAACCTCCGTGAGCAACGAGGGTCCACTGTATCCAGACCATGAGACTCCCAGCTCGACCTGGTCGGCTATGGAGACGCTCTGCTAGGCGTTGTAACAGCAATGTGGCGAATGATGAATCGAGACGTTCGATGGTGGCACGGACCGTGGCAAGATCCTTGACATGAAAACAAGTCTCGAGAAGGTTGGTATCATTTGTGCGGAGAGATTGCGTTAGAACCGTACCAAGCGACATTCCGGAGGGAAGCTGCTGCAGACTTCGATCGCCGGCCGGCACGAGACTTTGCGCATCTGGGTCTATGAAGCTAGCTTGAACGTCGACAGCCTCAGGGGCATTAACTCGGATGAGGTCCCCAAAGGACGGCTCCCCTACTTCTCCGTCATGTCCAGGCGCAATATCAGTATCTAGATCTTCTTGCGCGGCAACTTCCTTAGCTTCCACATCCTCCATCTCAACATCATCTTCAGATCCTGATTCCTTCTCTCCTTCCCGCGCACTGGCCTCGCCTACTTGGGCTGGAACATCATCTTCTTCAAACTCGCTTTCCTCTTTTCCGCTTGAGATATCTATGACTTCTGGTGGATCATCCCTCATTGGCACATCCGCTGTGCCTCCGCCATTTGCCACCAGTGTCCGAGATTCGTCGACATGATTCTTTCCCATATCCTTGACGCCATTCATGACTACAGCTCCAACACCAGCGCCACTCTTCGCCTTAACAATGTCCGTCATCTCGTTCAATAAGAAATTGCCAGTACTCTCGTCTCGCCAATGGACCGTATCAAAGAGAAGGTTGACGCCTCCTTCCGCCCAAGCCAAAGCAATGTCATTCCCTTGGAACGAAGCATTGAGAAGTGGCACAATACTGGAGAATTTGTCAGGCCTTCTCATCCTGATTTGAGCAGCCGCTTTCCGTGTCCTTTGCTTCATCCTAGCTTTTAAGCTCTCGGACTCTTTTTTCGAAGAAGCGTTACCGAAATCGAATGGTTCAGGGAAGATCTCGAGCACTCCATCCTTGTTGACAGCAGCAAGCACCTCCTGTGGTTGAACCATTCGGACCGAAAGATCACTAGGCTTTTCGGCCTTAGTCAAGTAGCCCAGTCCGGAGTAAAGGTCGAGAGAAATGACTTCGTTTTCGGTACGCAATGAGCCAATCAGTGTGGGAGAGTCGCTGTTGAAGACGTTGATAAAACGATCGCTTTCGGCAGCAGTCAAGAACGTAACGCCGCTCGAAGCCCTAGGTGCAGAGTTTACTATACTGTGAACAGTGTTGGTGGAAGCATTGAAGAGTGGCGGCTGCTCCTTAGACACTGGGTCCAAGATGTAGGCGTGATGTGAGGCACAAATTACAGATGATGGCAATGGTCGCAGAGTATTTGCAGGTCCATTTGGCAGTATAACAGTTCTGGAACTGTCAGTTTGGCCCATGAATCGAAGAGTCAGGACCTTCCAACCTTAAAACTCTGTTCTTCCTCAAATCCCACTGCACGAGCCTCCCATCTCCGCCTATGCTCCACCCCTCGGCATAGATCCCAATATCAGCAAACCGGAAATCTCTTATGCCATGTGTGTGTGCCTCTCTCAATGATCCCACAGTTTTCGCCTCTGCGGGTGAGAACATCTGCACCTCCGAGTCACTCGTCCCTAATGCCACCACAACGTTCCTGGCTTGATCCTTGGGCACATCTCCGTTGACCAGATCACTACGTTTCCGCTTCTTCTTTGATTCTTGGTGATGCCGGTCTCGGTGGTTTTCGCCATAGTAGCCCCAATCCAAGCAGGTTATCGAGGCCTTTGAATTGAGCGTGTGCTCGCAACGTAACCGGCCAGTGTTGGTGTCATGTATGCGAAGATGCTGCGCATCAAAACCTTGAATGACCGAAGCGAATAAGGAGAGCTGGAAATGAGAGGGAGAGAAGGACGATCGGAGGATGGAGGATCTGTTGGCAGTTTGTGTGTTGGAAGACGCTGCAGGATTTGCGACTGAGGAGACGTTGGAGGCTACCGCCTTGGGTGCCTTTTTATTCCCCATTATGATGGATTTTGACTGCAGATATTGTACTGGCCCTTGAACGGATCAGCAGGAGGCTCTGCATTCACGCATGAGGCTGCTGGGTTTTTCCTTCGTGATTTTCTGAAATGATTTTTTTGATAATAGTTGCGCTAGGCGAGGCGAATCCATGCCGCCAAGCCAAGTCCGAGGGATCTCGGGATCACCAGGATTTAAGCGCTGCCACCACTGCTCTGTGCTCTACCTTACCTACCCACCACTCTCTACTCCGCATCATCTCTTCAATTCCCACTGTATGTGAGGAAACATGACCGCCGGGTCTTCCATGGTGTCTCTGTCTAACTAATTCTCTTCCATAAATTTGATGTAATTTACTCAGCGCCTCGTCCGTGTTGGAAGGAATCACCTCCTCGGCCACGAATCCAACCTCTAAGTTCTGTCAGAGAACAGCAGTGGTGCCAGTTCCAACTTCAATATGTCTCAACAACAGTCCAACATTGTTGTTCATATCTGAATACTGTTCTTACTAGGTACGATTCTACGGGTGTCCTTTGTTCCTCTCAAGCGGCAGGTATCTGATCGTTGTTGCCTGTTCTTAGTCACTTTGAGTACGCGAGGCTGCCACTGCTATGATGATAGAGAAACGCGCGATAGAAGTGTCATCGTGGCGGTATCTAGCTTCAACTCTCCACTGACTGATATCTACCAATTTTAGAGGCATCATATCGCGTGTTTTTTACGTGATAAGGATACAGACGGCAGGCTACCTTTTTGGCTTCGGAACGAATGTATGAGTCAAATGCGGGGCTTGCTCGGAAGAGAACGGGCCGTGGGTATGAGGAAAAGTTAAGGAAGGATGAGATACAGCATCTTGAGACGGATGAAAAATAATACGTCGCTGGTGAAAGAGAGGTGGTGGTTGCTGAAGACACATGACGCAATGAAAGTGAAGTGGATTCGGGAGGGGGATTGATTAAAAGGGAACGCGAAAGATAGGGGGGAATTGTAAACAGACTTCTCGCATTTTAGACCTACCTACCTACCTTATCCCTGCAGCCGCGGGCTAAGCCGCTAAAAAGCAAGTGCGTTGTTATTCTCATACATAAATGAACTTAAGCTGTAATTTTCTCTTTTTCCCCCTCCGCAAGTTGCCCCAAAGATTGCCAGTCATACTACTACTTAAACAGCCTCGGCCGCCCGCCCATGTCCTCCGACCTCTGGCCAACGCATCCTATCGAAGCATTAAGTCTCGTGACCTGCATAACTTTTCACTTTTCACCTTTCACTGGCTTATTTATTCATTCATTGGTTTGCCTCAGCCACAGCCCTAATCTGAGCCGACTTGAACGCGGTCGCTTTAATTAGTAAGACCTTGCGCGCCTCCAATCCCCTCAAACACACCCGGCAATATTGAGGCCATACAAAACCGCCAAGACCTTTCGTGTCAAGATCAACAATTTTTGACCTTTCACAGCCAATCCAATATTTCTTCCAAGCGTTGCGCCATATCCCTTTCACTTGATTTCTCAGCATAATCTTGTTGGCTGTTGAAGCATTGGAAGGACCTAGAACAATACAATAAATTGCGATCGCTGTCTCAATACCTCAGTACTTGACACTCAACACTCACACAATCGCGCACTCCCAACCCTTTAGCCCTCGCCTCCGTCGTCCCCATCTTAGCAAGCCTGGTCTCGGGTTGCTTCATCACCCATCGCGACTGCCTTCGCAAGAAGTCCATGGCGTTATCGGAGCCGGAGCGCGGCGCATTCGAGGGCAAGTTCGGCCTTGAGCAGGACGAGATGGATTTTGGTACACACGATCATGCGTGAGTCAACTCATTCATGCACATCTTGTTTTCTAAAGTGAGTTGCTGATAAGGTACTTGTGTTTATAGATTACAAAATGGTCACCACCCCAAAGACTCATCACTGAACACCTCCACCTCCTTGAACACCTCAGCTCACGACGCAAACGCGCAGATAAGTGCGCACGACTTTACATCATCTATGACGAATGGTATTGATCACGCAGATATTCACTTGAATGATACTCAGGCATCCCTTGAGCCAAGCTCAAGTCTTCCGAATTCTGGCGAGACTGGGGACAGCCTACTATTCTCATCGAGTCAGTCTGCGCCCGATGATATTGTCCATCACTCTTCAATAAAGCTAGACGCCACCCCAGTTGAAACTTCACCTGCGCTTGTTCAGCAGCCAACCTCTGATCTTCGTGAAGAAACTCAGCCTGTAAGTCAGGAGCAGACTGCCGAGATCAAGGAGCAAAAAATGCAGCAAGATCTCATCAATGATCCCGATTTAGCCAACGGACTGGTCGCCGGCGCATCGGATCCGATCCCAGTGACTTCAGAGCTACCACCACAGACAGACTCTACAGCGGCCTTAATCTTTCAGCAGCCTCAGATTAGTGCCACAATGTCTCCGGAGCCTGCAGTAGCTCCATCGCTCAGCGAGGACAACGCTTCTGCTCTGCAGCCTTCAAAAGAGTTTGCCTCAATACCCACTACAAACCTCCCGCACCATCCACCAGTCCCTGTACCCGAAGGTGCATCAACTGAGGCACCCATAGATCCGGCGCCGTCGCCGGCTCTTCCAACAGAGAAGTCATCACCAGTGACGGAGACAGAGAGTCAGTCAAAGGACCAGGTCATGCAGGATGTGCCATCTTCTCCCGCGAAAGTGGCCAGGGAGCGGGAGGACGATGACCTAGAAGATGGACCAGCGGCGAAGCGCTCAAAGACTGAACAGGATGCTACCGCGGATTTCAAGGTTCCTGAGCGGCCAGCGATCAATACGCAGGTCAATGGCACGCATACAGATGCGCCCCAAACATCAGCACCTCCAATGACCCAACTCCAGCACAAGCACTGTATGAGGACTATCCAAAACGTCAAGCGTATTCAGTCATCTACCGCCTTCAGACAGCCTGTTGACTATGTGGTATTGAACATCCCAAGCTACCCAAATATCATCAGAAAACCTATGGATTTGAGAACCCTGGAAGAGAACCTGAAGGAAAACAAGTATCCTACGGTTGACGCGTTCACAGCGGATTTCAATCAGATAGTACAGAACTGCGAGGCCTTCAATGGCCGTGAGAGCACTTTCACGAAGTTCGCGAATGAGATGAAAGCCTCCTTCGACAAGAACATGTCAAAAATACCGGGACCTGATGTCGTGGAGCCAAGTCCGGCCGACAGAAAGAAGAAGTCAATTATACCGCCAGCAGCCAAGGTGGCACCGCCTCGACGAGAATCACGATCTTCGTTGCCGGGGCCTGCACGATCACCTGTATCGACAGGCTCTCCGCAAACATTCGCTTTGAATCCTCAAGGCGTACCTCTGATTCGTCGTGATTCAACTTTCGGAGACGGTCGACCAAAGCGAGAGATTCATCCACCTGCACCACGGGATCTACCCTACGCAAACCAGAAGCCAAAAAAGAAGAAGTACCAATGGGAGTTGAAGTTCTGTGAAAAGGTTTTGACCGAGCTTTCGAAGCCGAAGTACAACCACCTCTCATGGCCTTTCATGACTGCAGTCGACCCCGTTGCCCTGAACATCCCAACCTATCATAGCATCATCAAGAAGCCCATGGATTTTGGTAGTATGAAGTTGAAGCTGGATCAGGGCGAGTATGAAAATGCCAAGGAGTTCGAGGCCGACGCTCGTCAGGTGTTCCAAAACTGCTATCGCTTCAACCCCCAAAGTGACCCTATCAACCATACCGGGCATCAATTCGAAGCCGTATTCGATGGTGAATGGGCCAAGAAGCGGGACTGGATTGAGGCGAATACGCCCGGCTCTGGTCCTCAATCCGCTGGTAGCTCTGAGCCCGAAGACAGCGATGAAGAAGAGGAGGAGGAGGATGAAGAGGAGGAAGAGCAGACTCAGCTTTCGAAACTACAGCAGCAAATTGCCGCGATGTCGAGGCAGGTCGAGCTAATCACACAGAAAAAGAAGTCACCTCCAGTGTCTAGCAAGAAGGCCACAAAAGGAGCCAAGCCTGTCCGCAAAGACACGAAAAAAACTGCTACGCCCGCCAAAGCGGAGAAGAAGGCGGTTTCAAAGCCAGCCAAAAAGGAGAAGACGCCATATGTAACCTATGAGCAGAAGCAAGATATTTCGAATCGCATCAACAGCTTGTCCGAAACCAAAATGGCGACTGCGCTCAGGATCATCCGGGACAATATGCCAAATCTACAGGTGAGACTTAATCTAGATAAGAGATTTTTTTTATATCTATCCAACGAAGCCATCTTAGAATATGAAATAGACACTAATCTAAATCAAAAGCAGGGCGTGCAGGACGATGAACTTGAGCTTGACATTGACGAGCTATCCGACGAAGTTCTCCACAAACTTCTTGTCTTTGTACGAAAGCATGCACCCCGTTCCGACGACGCTCCCGCTCGACCGGCTCCGGCAGCATCTAGCGCAGCACCGACACGGAAAAAGAACAAGCCCATGAGCAAAACTGAGCAAGAAGCTAGGATTGCACAAGTCCAGAGCGGTCTGTCTGCATTCCAGAAGGGAGGCTCTGCTCCCGGCTGTAAGTTACTCTTCTCGGGATGGCTATACGTGACTCCATGCTTACCCTTCGATGCAGATGACGACCCAGTGGCGGGTCAGGAGAGCAGTGGAGAAGACGAGAGCTCCGAGAGTGAAGAAGAGTGAAGGCCTTATTCCTGATCGGCAGCCATCTCACGATCTTTGTCGGCCTCGATTGGGCTTCACCGTGTTTTGCGAGACCGAAACACACTGACCAACACTATGAACCCTCCTTGTATTCTATTACTTCATCGGTCAGCTCCAAAGAACTGGGTGCTGGAAAAATGAGGCTGAACATTAGCGAGCGCTGTGGACTTGAGGGAAAGGCTGGCTTGCAAAACCAAGCAACGAACGACGGTGATGAGCAAAGACTGTTCTTCTCTTCCTGCAGTGGACGAAAATGTTACCCAGCTCTATTCGTATGTACAGATTGGTAGTGGGCTTTGCGGCTCTCGAGCAGCAAACACCTAGCATGTTACTTCGAGCTATAGCATTCATCACACAGTCCTATTCAATGACACGGCATCGCTCTCCAATGAACTACCGCAACTTGCTAATCCCTAACGCCGAGAGGACTACTATCATCTACGCATTCTGATTAGTTCCCCCAGTAACAAAACATCTAATAATCCATCGCCATATTCCCACGCATCTTCTCGACTACTGCCTGATAATCCCAAATGTTTCCCCTCCAATCGCACGTTCAATCCATTCCCAAAACATAACCTCCACCGTCCTCTCCACCAACCATGCCCACCTCCGGGCCCCCGGACCCCACACCCTCCCCGCCGCCTCCCGACACCGCCAAACCCACCACCCCCCCACCCATCCTCCTCGCCCTCTCCGGCCCCACCTCCTCCGGCAAAACCACCCTCGCCGCCGCCCTCCACGCCATCTTCCCCCCGCCCCACTCCCTCACCATCCACGCCGACGACTTCTACAAACCCGACTCCGAAATCCCCACCACCGACGACGGCCTCCCGGACTGGGACTGCGCCGGTAGCCTCGACCTGGCCGCCCTGGCCGCCGTCCTCCGCGGCCTCCGGTCCGGCGCGCCCGCGCCCGCGCGCCTGCTCCGGCAGGGCAACTTCGCCCCCGACGGCGTGCACGGCGCCGCCGCCGCCGTCACGGGCGGCATCGGCGCGGCGACGGTGGAGCGGCTGAGGAGGGCGGCGGCGGCGGCGCGGGGGGACCGGCGGCGGCGGACCCTCGTGGTGGTGGAGGGGTTCCTGCTCTTCGGGCGGAGCGTGCCGGTTGGGGTGCGGGACCTGTTCGACGTCAAGGTGCTGCTGCGGGCGGGGCGGGGGCAGGCGCGGGCGCGGCGGGCGGGCCGGGGCGCGTACGTGACGCTCGAGGGGTTCTGGCAAGATCCGGAGGGCTACTTCGATCGGGTCGTGTGGCCGAATTATGTCGAGGAGCATGGGGGGATGGTGGATGGGGTCGACGGGGATGGGGTCGTGGAGGGGGAGGGGAGTTTTGGGCAAAGGGTGCATTGTTCGGATCCGGGGTGGGGGGTGGAGGAGTGTTTGGAGTGGGTTGTTGGGGTTGTGGGGGGGAGATGGAGGCGAGGGGGCTTCTTTGAGGGGGGGGTGAGGGGGAGGGGGGGGGGGGGAACGGGTTGGGTGGTGAGGGGTTGGGGGGACGGGTTGTGGGTTGGGTTACGTGGTCTCGTTGTGGGGAGAGGGTGCCATGGCGTGGTCTCGAGGGTTCGTGAGGCTTGGGTTGGGTTGGGTGCATCGGTGTTTGGACGAGATACCCCCCTTTTTCGCCCCGTGCTTTCTGGCGTCATGAGCTTCTACCCGTTTGCATTGCATGAGGGGTGGGAAGACATTTGATCCGTTTGCTGCACCGGAAAAGGTACATGGCTTCTCCCTGCGTTGCAGACTGAAACGCGGCCCTGAAGACTGGACCGGTGTCACCGAGAAGGAAGACGCTCATCGTGTATTCCCACCCCAACTGACTCCTTCGTCAAGGCCTGAGCTCGACAACCCGCAAGTCTTACCTGTGCCCGGCATCGTCTTTCCGGCCTCACTACGCACAAGTCGGGCCATCTCTCTCACAGAAGACTTGTGCAGATTAAACATTCAACCACGCTGGGTGACGAGAACGGGAGAGATTTGGGGGCGCTTCAACGATGCATGCTGCAGAATCTCGATGTACTTTGAGGGAACGAAAATGTTAGATACCTCGAACAAACGGTCTGGAACATCGACTACTAATGAGTCGAGTCTCACGGCTTGCAGAGTGCCTCGCAGTTTACGCATAGTCGGTGCATCGAAGCGGGCAATCGGAATGCAATGGCTGCACCTTGCTTTCGCTTGTTGAGCGTGATGTTGTGATTGATTGGAAGAGGAGCCAGACTATCTAATAGATTGCAACGCTATCTTCGCTGCTACTCCTACAGGAGAAAATAGGCCATTGTGGGTATCCAGATGCACGCTTTTATCCAGGCCAGATACTCCAGGCATCCATATTTGACCGTACCCCAATATTCCAGACTGCCATGCTAGATGGAGAGTGAGCAAAGGTGCTTGTGTATAGCCTGCGAGTCACCGAAAAAGCGCTGTGGCTGTGAACACGATGGAGGGCTGGCGCCTTCCTCTAGCACTGCTTTCCTCAGCCTGCTTGTTGCACACCTTCTTGTGGCCGATCGAGAGACCTATATCGCAATTGTTCTACTGCGTCACGATATGAACCCATCTCCAGCATTGACAATGCTTGCGCTTCTTCTAGCATCGATGAAAAGATCTTCGCACTCGGCAACGTCGTCGACATCGATTTCCTTCTTGTGATTGACTCGTGCCAGAATATTGGCAGGCGTGAGCAACTGCAGCGCGTATCGTAGACTGACTTTGACTCCATGTTCAGAAATCTTCTCAAGGGCTGGCTCGGTGATTGCCAAGCCCTCCGTTTTCGTTCGTAAGCGGACGATGAGCTTGACTTCCCCTGGGGTGTATGTATTGGTGGGTACGATTAGTATGCGGGCGAGGAGATCCGGTGGGATCCCATGAGCGGCGACGATATCTTCTGTGCCTCGTATGGTGCATTTTCCACGATTTGAGGCAAGTATGACAATGGGTGAAATGGGAGATTCGAGGGCGCGGTTGAGGTAGGTGAAACATTCGATGTCAAGCATGTGCACCTTCGCAGAATCGTCAGTCACGAAGCATCTTTGCACAACGGTGTCGACCTACCTCGTCAATGAAGAGCACACCTGGCACAAGCTCAGCGACCCCTTGATCGATGTACCGGCTTACGACTTTGTTGATCTCCTCTCGTAGCTTGTCTGTGATCTCTGTCTTTTTCGGCTTCATGAGCTGACCCATCATGCTCATGATATCTTGTCCGCCCTGCGGCCTTGCATTCGCTATATCGAGGTCATGTAACGTCACGTCCTGCACTATCTCTTTCTTCTTATGCACTTCGCCCTTGGGTATCGGCACATACTCCTCAGCCTCTAGGTCGAATTCCGTAGCATATGCATCCGATCTCCCGACCCTTTTGCAAGCTCCGGTGTTGGCCTCAATGTAGATTACATCCCCAACGACAACCCGCTCTTTCTGTATTGCTTCGTAGATTGAAGGGTCCAAGCGCAGCTTCTTGGTGCCTTTGTAAGATTTGAGACCAATGAGTAGATGGCTGATTGTTTTTCCATAGCCTCCTAAAGGGTTGTCGGATTCTTCTGGCGTGAGCTCGGTTACCTCTCCTTCATAGACCTCCTTAGTCTCCCGAACTCGTAGACCTAGGCTCCTGATCAGCTACCCAATGTCAATGCCAAGATTAAGGACGAACCGATAGCCCTCCGGAAATTCTCCATCAACGCTTCGGTCTTCTTGACCTCGGTGGAGTAGACCTCGCTGCCGACTATCGGGCAAAATGGCACCTTGGTCCCAAGCTCTTGTGAAACAGCCAGAGCCAGTGCTGTTTTTCCTGTGCCCGGTCCACCAGCTAGTAGGACTGCGCGCCCTGACATCTTCTTGGACTTTATGAGATCCACCACAACGCCGCATGCCTGTTGTGGTTCGAGAAGATTAGCTATGTTCATTATTTGCAAGCCTGCAACGACTGAATGGCCTTGACATACTTCTCTTGCAGCCAACTGGCCGACAAAGCCACCGCTTGCGCTCTCTGCGTAGCCATCGCTCCTTAAGCCCAGGCCTTTGATGTGGGTATGAGCTGCAGTTCTGTGTTCGCGCGAGTTGCCCTTGACCTCGCTGATTGTGACCATTACGAGAGAGGTTGGAAGAGACGGCAAGCTCTTGATCGCTTAATGAACTTGGCGTACGAGTGCTTGGTGTAGGCAGGAGAGATTACTCTGAAGTGTCATGGATGTTGGGTAATTTGTTTGGATTGGTATATGGTGGTGCACGCGATTGAAGCACAGAGCATCTCGGGATTTTCCGACGGCGCCTCGCTCACTCAAGCCCTGCCGCTTTTAATGATTGAGCTGGGTGACTACTTTAGGCTGAAGTACCGCCATAATCTAGTCTACAGGATTTATTCTATGTTTCAACATCCATGACGGTTGGTAAATACCTTTGCACCGTCCTACCTATATCATGACACCATCGTTACAGCTGCCAAAAAGAGAAATTTCCCACGGGAAAGAGAAAAATTTGATGAACAGAGAGGGACTCGAACCCTCGCCACTTTCGTGACCAGGATATAATGTCAAGGTAACCTTAACCTGGCGCCATAACCACTGGAAATCCGTTAGTCTTTGATCACAATTAATTTTATTGCGAAAGAACATACACTCGGCCATCTGTCCAGGATGTTGGATCTGTAAAATTTTCTTATTTGCATATATATTACACATTGTAATACGGGTGACATCAATATCTCGAGATTCAAGCATTCCCTCGCCAATAACAGTCAGTCGACTTGGGATTTTGGATCACTTCATCAATCTTGTAGAGTTGCAACTACAAATGTAATCGAGTTCCTTTTGCTTACATGAGTACAGAGGAATGTCTTCGCTGCTGCTATGTTTTGATTCTTAATATGATCGGTTAGAATGTTCATTGTAGTCTATAGCAGCCTTCTCTGCTCTCTGCCTTCTGTAAGTGTTCTTTCATTTCCTGTGTGTATACAAAAAAAGCACCCGACATCAATATGGACGTTACTTGTAGATGATGCTTGCTGTTGCAAAGGCGACGATCATGCGCGCCCCAACGATTCAGCAAGATAGGACGTGTCTTGAGGGAATACGAAGGCCTGAATATCACGTTTTCATCTATCATTCATGCGATCGCGTGGTCATTCATGAATTGAGCGTAGTGTGTCTCTTGCTCTCGAAATGTTAATGCTGTGGTGGATACTAATCGCTCGCTTGTTTTAGACAAGAGTGCGAAGAGATGAGGAAAGCTCCGACGGCTTCGTACTATGCAATCAATTGTTAGTGGGGTTTCGGTGACTTGGAGTCTATTTGCAATAATTGAGGATTTTGACCAAACATATAGTCAGTTGGCTAGTGAAACGTTCTATTTTCCTTGCCATGCCGTCAATTCTCTCGGGCTTCCATATCCTTTTCAGGCTGACTTGAAAACACTGCCACCTTTTCCTGGAATCTCTGATTTTGAGCTGATCCAAGGCATCTAAGAGCTCATCTGCTATCTTCTTGCAGTCTTTGGCTCTCAGCATGACGTCGACTTGGCCACAATATTTCTCAAGCGCATTTGCAGGCCCAAGAGGTAGGATATCTTCCAATATGATATCAAGCATCATCTGATGAAGGTTGGTTCTCGAACGAATGCTCAACCACCAGATCATTACTCAAGCGGCCAAGAGACTGGGCGATGCTCTCGAGCTCCACAGTTTCATCTGCTAGACCATTGGAAGACATGTACAATTCTTGGCTTTGGGATACTAGCCGGCAGCCAGAATCCATGAATTGGACTGTATTGCTCGCAACGCCAAGAGCAGCAAGGCCCCCGAAAGCCATGCTGAATCAAAGGTTCCAATTTTCTAGGATCTGAAGGCAATTGCAATCTAGAAAAAGACTCGAAAAGAGGGAAGGCATTCAGATACAAAATCAGCTTTAATATACAAAGATATGATATCCACAGGACTAAAGGCAACAACGCCCGGCCAGTAGATGTTGGCAATATTGATCAAAGTCCTGCTACCGGCATTTGAGAACTGTAAAACGAACGATGCGGGGCTCTCTGGACTTTTCAAAAGGGAGCTGTTCCTCGATGCGCGCAAACATGAGGCGTCGGGGTAAGGGCAAGGGTTGGTGCAGCAGCACAGCCTACCACATGCATCAAGGACGCGAAAGCCTCATGCAAAGCCTACGGAGGTCAGCACTCAAAGTCCTGCACGCCAAGATCTCGAATAGTGCTCCGCCTGAAGGGTTACGTGAACAATGCCAAGTCCGACAACTAACGGCACCCTGTCACTGCCTGTCCTTGTGATGATTGCTTTTACTCCCATCCATCTCTTTTTGAAGCCCAAGCTCACGAACTCGAAAGGTCAAGAAAAGCCCGCAAATTGCTGTCAGAGTGGTTCATGGGGGCAAGCAGTATGTCGCCAACTCTAGCTTCTTTGACATGAAGATTACTACCACTCCCTCATCATCGATACCAAATAGACTCTGCAGCCATAATCATGGATGGACTACATGCTAAGGTCATGGGTTACACATGTTGGCCTTGGGTCTGCGTATTGATCCTTCTTCGAATAATAGTTAGTTGTGACTGATGAGCAAAACACATAAGCACTCAAATGAGACGGAAGGCGGTTGGTGCTTACGAGGAAAACTGAGGTACCTATCTTCATCTTGCTAGAGGATTGGATCTAACCCCTTTCCCGCTAGGCGAAGCCTCTGACCAATGATGGTGAAGCTGAGTCAGACGTCGAGTCATCGCCCTGGAACCGTAGAATACTAAGCAGTCATTCTCTCCGCGTAGGAAATGCTAATTACTGAAGCTATGTAGCGCCGATTCAAAGAATTCATGCATCTGCCTATCATTACCTAGTCCCCGATGCCAAACACTCGCGAGCCGCGGGGACACAATCAGCATTCTCGATCCAAGTCTCATGGAGATATCGTCTCAGACTGACGCCGACGGTTCAATTGGCGATTGGCCGCAGAGGTTGTTGCACGTACCTACCATGACTTCCTATGAGTGGCAAGCCGGCCACGTATACGGGGGGCACATAAAGCCCAGATATAGCGCAATTTCGTACACCTGGGGTCGCTATCGACTGAACTCAGCCCTCGAGAGACCTCATGTCAAGCCCATCGAGCTCGATGGGGTGGACTGGGAGATCCCACGGATTGATGACTCTCATTTCACTGTAGGGCAATTTGAGGAACTCATTCGTCGAAGTATTGAGCCCACCTCTTACTCCGGTCACAATCCTGCCTTCACCCCTTCTAAAATCGAGTTCGTCTGGCTTGATGTTGCTTGTATTAATCAAATACCCAATCATCCTCAAATGGCAGTCGAGATAGGGCGCCAAGCACGAATTTTCAGAAAGGCCAAACGTGTTATCGTGTGGCTCAACCAAGCCACATTGCAAGGCCTTGAGAGAGAGATTAACGGCATTGTTGCAGCTGCAGCAACTGCTGAGCCGCGCCTGACCCAGACTCTTCTCCCTGAGGATCAATGGACCAGCATACCAGGATCAAAGTTCAAGATGACCCTGCTTAGAAATGAACGATGGCTAGCCTCAATGATAAAAGAAACCAAGGCAAAGATCAAGGAAAATTGGTTTGGAATAGTGGCAAACACCCGTCGGATGCTCCTCCAAGGTGATGAGCAATGGCTAGCCTCAGCACTAGAGAACATTAGTTTGTTAACCGAAGAACGATGGTTCAGCTCCTTGTGGACGCTACAGGAGGCCTTCCTCAGCCAGTGGGCTTATGTAATCTCTGGAGAAGTGGAAGCTCTTCGCGTTGGCTCTCCACAGCTCAGAGATATCTTCACGGCATGCGAGACTCTCAGTGCTGTATGCAAAAGAAGTGTAGCTTATAAGCGGGCGCTGAGTCTGCCGACAGCAGATACAGAAGTTCGCCTCATCGACATGATTGAGCGGAGTGGTCTTGCGGCGCTTGCCATGGAGAATCCTATGGCTCTTTACACTGTGGCATCAAATCGCCTGACTTCAAGACCCGTAGATCGCGTTTACGGAATCATGCAAGTTTTTGATTTTCAACTGGGCATCTCAGCACCCCACGCAGACAAGGGGGCGAGCCCCAATTTGCCAGAGCTGGAGTTACAGCTTGGACAGGAATTACTTACGAAGTATCCTATTATGAGCCAACTGCATGTTCACACCCAGCCTGCAAGGCAAGGTCAGGCCTGGAGAGTCAGCAGTAACTCGAGAGTTCCTGAGCTGGCTTCCAAAGTAGGTTATTTTGTCACTAGCAGCTTTCTAGGGGATCACAAATGTTTATGCCAATTCTCATCTACAAAGGTTGATGGCAACTCTTGTGCCTCATTCGTAGGCAAGATCTGCTCCTTCGAAATTCTACAAAAAGCCTGGAGCTCCATGGATCGTCATATACTTCCTAGGAGGAGAACTGGGAAGAAGAGCACACAGCAGATTATAGTGGACTCATCGGCGCTATTGCCATTTTCTCTTTTCACTGATGACCCCACACAAGATATACCAAGAGATGAACGACAGCATAGACTGGCAGCCGAGTTGGTCACCCTTTGTTCCCGGCAAGGGCTTTCGATATATGTCTTACTATTAGGCCGTTTCAGCGACGACCAGCATACTGAAGGTTGGTGGAAGCTGGCGGGAGGTAGTAACTCCGAGTTCAATGGTGATCGCTTCAATATTGGCTTGATACTGATCCAGAAAACGAATGCAGAGGTGTGGAGTAGGTTGGGAATCTGTATCTGGGACCTTGGTCAGACAGCCTCCGGCCAGAATTCTGCACTACAGAATGACTTACTGGAGGGTAATGCCAACGACTGGAAATTGCTTTCAGGACTCTTTGAATAGATCGCTAACGCTGTAGTCTTCCCAAAATCTGGCAGTCCCATTTTCGGCAGACTCGACATGTCCTCAAGACTGCATCAGGAGTTTGCTGCGAGCCCAGACCGTTGGTGCGCTTACAGAAAGACGGGTCAAAGCTAGCATCATGAGGAGGAGGCTGTCCAGCTCGAATGCACGTCCAGGCTCTATTCTCTTCCAACATAAAAGGGACTCCATCGAATGGAAGAGAGAACATTTACCAACACTTGAGCGGAATGCTTCGCAAAGCAACTGCATTCTTGTCCCGAATGCATAGGTCCCCAAGAATTGTTCATTGAGCCCCAGACCTCCCCTCAAGTCTTCCAAGAAAATGTCAAGGAAAGACGGCGAAGGTACTTGGGGAGTATGGATATTGAACTCAACACGTTCGCTGATCCCGCCTCTGAGTGGTCTCGAATATTATTACATTTCTCAATGGCGTGTATCGAAATGTCGTAGAGTATGAATGGGACTCTATCCATGGTAATGTACGAAGGTGCAGATTAGGATCCTGCTATAGAGCTCCGGATGGATTCCGCCAATACCAAGCAGGTATCGAGATGACTTTTGAAGGCGTATCGCGCATGGATTGATCCTTTGGGCGCAGTCGACAGGCATTCCCAATTACGGAAGTGGCGCGATTATCATCCTCAAGCCGCATCCCCGTTAATATTTGATAAGGGAGCGTTGCGCCCAAAGCATGTAGGTAGAGAGAGAAAGGTCTCGTGCGCAAGGCAGGCTATTGGTGCAACTCGCTATTACTGCCTGCTCTCCGAGGGCCAGATACCAACCCGCGAACTGGGAAAATCACAGCGTTAAGCCACTCGACTATAACCCAAGTGTCTCTATCGTCGAAATTGCAAGAAGCTTCCTGAACCACCTATACCTGTATAACAATACGACAATCGCTTGGAAAAGGCTTCAAGTCTGCTTTTTGCACATGGCCATCGCATCGGCTACATATTCGGATCACTCGATCTCCGAATTGCAGCATGGTATATGGACTCCCTATCTTATTTCGGAAAGCTTTAGCAAGCACGGGTGAGGGCATATCAACGGGGAACAATACTCGATGGATCATGGCTAATTTAACTGCTACATGGGTCGTTTTGTTAATAACGGTCTCTGGAGTCAAGGACCAGACATCGTTCTTAGTCGGTATTGGGGCTCTGGGGATGATACACACACTTGTTGTGGCAGGCAAATCTCGTTCGCCGTCTGCATTCGGAATTCCTCTAACATACCGGGAATACTTTCTCGGAGAATAGGCCATGGGCTCTCTGAATGGCGGTCAAGAAAGAATATCCAGGCATTGGCGTTGCATTGCTGTCCATTTGCTTTCCTGGAAAGCTGGGGGAGGATGAAGATGACTCTTGAGATCAGTAAAGGCGCACTGAGAAGGAGAGGTATAAAGTAGAGGAAGGCAGGCTACAGGAGCCTTACGGCTCAGATGTATGAAAAGTGCAACGCTCTAGCTGCAGGATTACCAAGGAAATGTAGCACATCCAAGTGGTCCGTCAATTGGACCAGCTCTTGTTCTACCTGCTTGGCATATCTCTACACTCGTCCTTTTCCCCAGCCCTCCTTCCCTTGAATTCTCATTGAAACAATCGGCACAGTTCTGTACCAAATGCTCCATTCCCTCAAAGCCTGGGACTGCGGAAGGTTTGTCTACCCATGGCTGCAATCATCTCGTTGCTTCACGAATTCTTCAAGACCTCAGTGACCCTTCTGACTTTGCGGAAGTGTCGGTGGATGCGAATAGATCATAGACTATACCGAATGTCTGTTATGGCTGGAGATATGTGACTGGTCTGCAAACATAAGGAGGGAAGGCGTGCAGGCGGACATACTCCGGATTATATATGCAGACCCACTTGAGACTTTTCCCCTCTAAGCAGTCAGTCTGTGGCTCACAGTAATATAGGCAGCTGCAGGGACCGCATCTCAGCCTCCCTGGCGCCTTAAATCCACTTGAACCTCGAGTGAGCTATCTGTCCCAGGCCAGGGCTAGTGGCCATAAGCCACCAAAAACCAACACGAAGCTCGGCCACAATCGAAACCCCAACTCTGAGTAGCAAGTACTCCTCCCCTCATGTGCACAAGACGAATCATTGGTCCACAAACAGAACAATCTCCGGAGCAGTACCCGCAGAACGTTTGATGCTATCTTGCCCAACTAGCAGCGCTTGACCAACAGGATCCGTTGCAGATAGGACGCCGTCAAGTCGAGCATGGACGGATGAGATCCCTTGAGCCGACTCGCATATATCTACATTTAAGGCGGCCAGAACAGTGAGGCCATCATCAATGGACTTGGTTGAGGGTTTTGTTGCGTCCTTCAAGTTGGAGGTAGAATATTTGACAACCTCAGGGGTTGTGATTGATTGGGCTATTAGTGTCTGACTGATGTTGCCAGAGATGTGCAGTCTACAAGCCTCTTAAGATGTTGGCTCAAATGAGTGAACTCTATCGAGTACAAACATAGTAAGTGAATGAGGATATCATAACGTTCCTTTCGTTCTCGCTTATTTTTCTTCTTCTTTCTGTCCGAAAATCCAAAACCTCAACTATATGATCTGTCAACTACGAAAACAGTCCTTTAAAACGCGCATCTTCCGAGAGATGGCATTCTTATTCTCTTATGTAGATTGCCATCATAACTGGGACATGTCAGTCAGTACCACGCTTGTAGGATATCTCCCCATCAACACGCGCTCAACAGCAGCTTGACCGCCTCGACAAGCGCATTTCGCTTATACGCACTCAGAAACCCATGCTTTTATGGGTCTCTAGGAGCAGTCGTGACCATGGACTCATTCTCCATGTCCCGTGGTCCTCTACTTTGAACGCGAACCCTCTTTTCATTGCTTCATCAGGATGATCCCACGCTTTCTCCTTGTTGTAGGATCTCTAGCATGCACGAGCTCTGCCTTCGTTCCTTCAACGATCAATATCACCAGAAGCTCAACTGTCTCGAACCTGACATCCACGCATCTCCGAAGTTCCTCTCATACTTCCGTGGCGGAAAGTAATTTTCGGATGCAATATTGTACCAAGATTGAAAGTTGGTCTCTCCCGAAACTGGAACCCGACGACTGTTTGGGAGTGCTCGATTATTTCTATCTCGAGACATATGACGCAGGCCACCGCAAATCAAAAGAGTTCAGGGCTCCAGGTGCAAAGAAAACTACACATTCACCGCCGCAACGGACTCCTCGAAAATACACATTCCGTAAGGCTTATCCACCAATGATAATGCTGTCATTTCACTTCTCCTTTGCATCCATTCCACCACGGAATCATCATGGTTCCAAAGTGTCAAGGTCGAATTGTTCCAAAAGCCACCGTTTGCTGCTAACATCCTTTCCTTGAACTAGGCACATGTACGCTGGCGATAGTCATGCTTTCAGATTTCCCAGATCCCGCTCAGCTGCCCGGGGGCTCGAAGACGGGATTAACATCGGACACGACGACCTACTATAATATCTGGAAAGTAGCCGAAGGCTTGGTTAAAAAATGTATCGAAAGTCAGGGAAAGGTGGGGTGGCAGCTAACAGGTGAGATCTCTGTCATCCACTCTCCCGAATTTCTTGATCAAATACTCTCACGGTCCTTGTCCTACATGTGTTGTTATGCATCTGTACCCGAGTTCACGGCTGACATTCTCATCCTCGTCTTTGAATCGGCGAAGGCGCATATCAGAGCATTGGAGTATTCATCTGGTCTACAGGTTCTGAAGAAGATCGACTAATTGAAGCTGATGAGCCACGGTTCACATTCCCGACACTGGAAGCGCCGGTCAATGGCTCCGCAGTGGACCTTTGAGAATCGAACTCTACGATTACCGAAGCGGTCCGGAGACGTTGTAGTTTCAACGGTTCACACAAGGTTACCTCTTACGAATAGGGATTACGGAATAGAACCCTAGATGGATCGAAAACAAGAGCACGCAATACCGAGATTCGTCCGAAAGAGAGAGCAGAACTCGATTTTGAGACTCCCACATTACGATGTAGCAAGATACAGTCTCACTCATATTTTCCTAGCGTTGCACATTTGCTTTCCAAATCCAACAACGGCCCCGGAGTGCTCTCAAAAGCTTCCACTGTTGTATGCCATTTGATCGATGTCACCTTCTCAACCGCCGTCAAATCCATTATCGCTACCGCGATGTCTTCATCATCATCCAATTTTCCCTTTATCTCAGGCTCTCTCTTCAATGCCTAGAACTACCCTAACGCTTCATGGGTTATCCCGCAACGAAGCGCTTGTTCCCAATCCAGTGCATCGGTCCAAGAAGGTTTCCAGGTATCACCTCTATACAACCACATTTGATACCCTAGCAGCGCGGCCAGAAGATGTACCAGCAAAAATGCATACCTGCAAACCAAGCTGCATACCTGCAAACCAAGCTCTAGATAGCCCGCATTCTCTCGGCTCAAATGTTTGCGGAACCACAAGATTGTGCTGGCGGTCATCGCAAGGTCTCTACCGCCAGTTGTGAGCTGTTGGGCAAGTCCGCCTTTACCAGAAATCTCAACCAATACAGTGACATATACAGATAGGGTAATTGGGCACAACAGCACCAAAGTGAACTATGAATTGCTTTCAAATCTCTTGTCCGACAAAGTGAGTTCGACTACCAAAGTTACCGAAAGACTTAGAAGGTGAAGGAACATGCTTATTTCGTCTTCGTAGCTATCTTCTCTGTGGATCCTCTGAACTAACAAGCTCGGAAGACCCATGAATGGCGTCGCGCTGACGACGGAATAAGTATGACAACTGGAGATTTCGATTTCAATCATTCTACCCGTGTTGATTCGATTGTAAGACGGAATAGACTTATGCCATTTACCTCCGGACATTCGAACCATAATTTTGAGGACGACGAAAGAGCTCAAGAATATACTGCCCCACAATGGCGTTGTCAGAACTCCACTCACGGCGTAGAGTTAGATCATCTGAGGGACCGCACCGAATGCGAACATTACGAGCCGAAAAGGGGTGTTTTTCTGTAGACTAGTGAGGCTACTCTCTTCAGTCTGATCGCCCACGTCACGGAATCGTAGTTCCGCCACATTAAGGACAGCGGCTCGTGGCGACGTTAGGCTGATGCTGTCGAAAATAACACGAAACACCATACGGAGTGCGTCCAAGACGCAGATGATAGGCGAAGATCGTAGGACGAAGCCATATTTGGAAGGGAATGTCCCGAGTATCATAGCCGAAGGTTGTCAGACACCAAAATACTGATTGCGATAATATTTCATTCGACTCGAGTTCCGCGTCAAGATCTGGCACATCCTCGATAGAGCCCGCTGACCCAACAAGAAAAGGACCTCCTTACGATATCACTCAAAACCACAAGCCGAATAAACCATTCCGCCCGTCCCCCCGGCCACTTTGCAGGAACGAGACCAGCTCGTCGTCGTGATCGCGGCGAAGAACTGGAAAGAAGAGCGTGGAGCCGTCCACCTCACAGCTTCCTGCAGGCGGACGGTCCGATGGACTTTGACCCCCGATAGTCCCAGTCGAGGAAACCGACTGCAGTCATCCATTCGCGAGGTACGAAGCAGCAGACTGCTATCGCTACCGACCCTTTACATCGAGTCGAAGTCGAAGAGGGAAAATCTCCCAAGGAAATGAAGACGCGGCCCGTGAATCGCATCAGCGCCCGCAAGCCTGCGAGGTTGAACGTTGTGTGATATCTCGCAGCCATAGCCATCTTGGGGCTTACAACAAGATATCGGCCGAATCGGAGCTGCATGATCCTTCTCGTTGTAGCAGAAGAAAGGCCGGGACGGATTCCGCGAATCGTTGCGACTGGAGCAGAAGGGTGGTTGCTAAAGGTCTGTTACTACCTAAAACGTAGCGTATACTAGTATCGCTGCAGCAAGGCACAACACCAAACGATACAGTCAGAGATCAGCGTGACGTGGCCAGGGAAAGACTCGGCTACGTAAGCAGCGTTGTGATGATGCGAACGGGAGTGAGTAAAGGGGCGAGGGAGAGGAAGCAGAGCTTCCGAGTATAGACGGCAAGATGTCACATCATGCGCACTATGGCCCCCATGTCGTGCTCTAACATTAAGATTCTGGGCGATGGGACATGAAGAGGTGGTTTGGAGTGGGATACTCCAAGAGCGCGACATGCCCTCATTCCTCCTCTCATTATCAATCCTTTAACATGAAATGTCCCCTTCAAACTAAAAGATCAGAGCTATCCCTCGCAATCATAGTCAAACTCAACCGCATCACCGCCCTTAGCACCCTCCCGGCTCTCAGCGTCCGCGGTGCAGCCATCGCGGACGAGGCCAACGTCCAAAACAGTCGTCAACCACGCCCGCGGTTCCGACGATCCGAAGATCTGGCGCCCAACCTTGACCCAGAGGGCAGGAGATGCCTTGAGCGGTTCCACCGCCATGCTCGACTACTTCACCCGGACGTACCGCACCGGCTTCGCCGCGGCCGTTGAATCTCACCCTCAGTGCCGATCCGCCGTGCCAACGAGACCCTCCCCCCCCGGAACTGCCAGTGTATGATCGTCTGGGTGATGTCCAACGCGCATCTCATGTCCTGGAACGGGGACATCCGCACAGGGTCGTCCAATCAAATCATCAGCATGGGTGTTTCGAATGCGGGCAGATTGGAGCTCCAGAGCGCGGGGACCAACTCTACGGGGTTACATGTTGGGGATTCAGGGGCCCGGGCGGCAGGGAAAGGGGGAGCTGCTGACTTGAGGTCGTACCTCGGCAGGCCGGAGTGTAGGTCGTTGCGGTCATGTGCCAGTGGTGGTGATGGCGGTGGTGAGCAGTGGGAAAAGCATCTCGGTCGCGGCTGGCCTAGTCGTTCATATATATACAGATAGCCAACAATAGAATTCCGTCTTCCCTCAAACCATGAGGAGTACCCGTCTGGACTTGACACCGATCAAGCGGTGCCCGGTCAGAAATGCCAACTGCCCCATCCGAGTTGAATCTTCCATAGCCACACTCACCCCCCTCAATTGCCGTGTCCCCAAGTCGCCGCGATCCCAAACGGAGTCATCGCACCGTCCCACACCCAATCACATACCGTTTCGTCAACGACAGCTGACCAGTCTCGCAGGGTATGGGACCCTTCAATACGAAAAATTCCCCTCCAGTTGCGATGAGAAATCCACATGGGAAGTATCTTCGGCGAGGGCGGACGCGTTGACAGCTCGGCACGAAAGGGTCTCATAAACCATGACTATTCCACCTCTCGGCGCCCAAGGAAGACGGAAGTCTATTCACGACTGAGTTGGGACGAGGGGATGTTCCTTGTAGGGTGTGGGCTGCAAAAAGGATATCAAAGCTTGGCACCTTCGTCTGTCTCCCACGCGCACTGGTCTATATCATAATATCTGGCACTGAGACAATCCATGCGTATGAGACAGAGATCGATAGTATACACTTGATCTGTAGAGACCAACAATCAATGATTAGTATGGTATTCTGATTGTGAGATTATTTCCCGAGGGAAAGGGAACGAGTACTTTAGCATTAGAGAAATGTCTATCAAGAAGTTGCTTGAGCTTACCGTTGTGTTCTTCTTATCGTGAGTAGGTCACTGATCAAACTCTTGGTTATCATTGTTGTAGGCGGTTTGGTGGTGTGGGATCAAATCACGATGCCAAGAATTATAAGCATCCTGCACACGCTGACATCAGACTCGCAGCGCGGGGTCTCGGCATGCAAGAGCGACTTCTTGTCCAATCAAATGCACTGTTGCCTGTTTGCTGGTCGCGCACGTCCGATGCTACACAAGCACTCGTAGAATTGAACAATTCTACGGACATCATCCCTGAATTCCACAACATCCTCGTTGCAACACAAAACCTTCCCTCTCGAATAAACGGGTGGCTCACAGAACCACAACTGACCGACGCAGTTGACCGACGCAGCATGGATCCTGAACCAATAACATGTCGGATTCGAGTCAGATGGGGGAGCGGTGATGTTCCCCATGTACACGCCATACGAAGCTTGACAGATATCAAAGATTTACCCGATATGACAAAAGAATTGCAACAACGATGGGCTGAAGAGATCGTGAGGTTATTCTTATCAAACCCCGGTCCAATTGCGGCCATCAGACCCTGGGATATCCTTCTGCACCAACATGGTTCCGTCGTGGCATTGTTGTCAGAAAAGGGAGGTCGGAGCTTCTACCCCTCTCGTTTCCGGATCCCTCCTCACAACGTCCTCGGGCTTGACGAGGGAGAGAGGGTGACGCGAGCGGAGAGGTTTGCATTAGGTACTCTGCTCTACGAGGTCATGACAGCAAAAGAACCCTTCGAGGAGCTGAGCGAGGAGGAGGTGCAGGACCATTACCGTCGGGGCATTTTCCCAGATGACGTCTTCTCTATGGCTATGGGGCCTTATATCCTTGGGTGCTGGAGTCTGGAATTCGAGAAAGAGATGGAGAGACTCCGTAAGTAATTCGTGTAGGCTATTCGAGCATTGTTGACGTTCCCTAGTCGCTGAATCCGGCCAAGTATCAATTGGTGGTCGATTTCGTGCGTACGCCAAAGCTCATCCCTTCCTTCTTGCCTCCCAGGTCACAGGTGGAGTCGTTATGACAGCTTCAGTCATTGCACTCCCTGGCCTGGGACTAGCTGGGTTTGCAGCAACTGGTCCTGTTGCTGGTACAGCGGTGACCGCTTGGCAATCGTCGATCGGAATTGTACAAGCCGGTAGCTTATTTGCGTGGTGTCAAAGCGCGGCCATGGGGGGCGGAGCAGCTGTTAATGGGATCATTGCCTGTGGCGCGGTAGGTGGAAGTGTAGCATTGGTAGCCACGGGTGGAGCGATCGCAGGTGGGCAAACGGTGTTGACGCCGGAGAAGATGAAGGAGATGTTTCTGATGGCGTACCGCAAGGAAAACAGCGGACTCAAGCCTATTGAGGCCGCGGACGAGTCAACAAGCTAGAGTATGACAACAACAAAACGACAGCGCATATATGACAGGGAGCTCCAGCACTAGACGACACCTGTGAAGTATTCAGTAGTAGAATGAACTTCACTCGATCATGACCTGTTGCATGCCAAACATTCCACGCAATCGGGAACCGTCATCGTAAGCGTCCAAGATGTTTGTGCTGATGTCCTGTTCCGGGTCGCTGGGGGTTATCACATTTACGCAGCCTCAGGACAATTCTCATCTTTCTCTTTCTGACTTCGACAAATGGCTGTTCTGGACTGCTGTGCGGAATGGTTCGCTAAAGGATGGCATTCTATCAAGTGGTGCGCTCGAAAACATATACTGAATCCCTGAGGTCAGCGTTAGCAGTGTATTTTGCACAGGCAAATGCTTCTAGCTTACGTCTGCGGTCCTGTAATGCCTGATGATCGAGCTATGCTTATGCTGCAAGCCGCAAGACCGTGAACTTAGGTAACGCACGGTACTTAGACCGCCATTGAAGAGCTTCAGTAAGCGTACAGGTAGCATGCCCTCTGTGATAAAACACAATCAGTCCATAAAGGACAATGTAATTGGGCAGATAAAATTGGAGCCGTAACCTCCGAGGCCTCCCAAAAATAACCTAGTTCGCTTACCTACCCCTCTCCCACCGTAAAGAAAGAGATATCCTGATCACAATGGTGTTCTTGCAGAAAGCGATTCTACCCTCGTGTCTTCGTTACTCTTACCCTTTTCTCCCTCGCTGTATCCTTATCATCTCCGCTTCCTCCGCTTTCTCCGCACCAGTTTCCTCTTCCTCTCTATCGCCTTCATGCCGCTCCAGCGCTTGCCGCTGACCTTGAGCCGGCAACTGTATCAGCCACAGTTCGTGAAGAAAACGGTCCAGCATTCGTACCGAGTATGTTCTTTTGCCTAGCTTGGCCGGAGAACGAAGAAGAGCTCGGGATGAAGAAGTAAAGCCCCGCCATAGTCAGTATTGCACCTGCGCCGATAATCCTATAGGAAGTGTTATCTAATCAGCACACCAATATCCTGAAAGACAACAGCTCGATCAGTGAGACCCACCACGCTTCTGGCCTCAAAATACCGGCTGGTGAGGGGGGGCCGGCTTCAGTTGAATCTAGAGGAGCACCGCAGGCCCGGTCGATACCTGCCGGTCGTAGCGGTGGCTGTTTTGGATTTCGAAGAGGCGGGAAGGTGGAAATGTGTCTTGATGACGTTGAGGAGAGAAAGGGCCTTTGACTGGTGAGAAGAAGGCGTCTGGCGAAGTAGAGCCGGGTTGTATGGGTTATTTGGGGGGACATGCTCTCTCAATTGCTGCGGAGCATATCATCCCTGAGGAGATGCGGGAAATTGTAGAGGTGGTGGAGGTCAGGTATGTAATCCGTGATCCTTCTGTAGGACAGTGGGGCAGTGGGGCTACATAGCGGCGTCGCAGATGTTTTGGTTGTGGCATCCACGCTCATCCAAGGTGCCCCTTGAACCATCGCCGATTGAGTACTTTAGCATCCATCGCCGATATTGTTGTACACGAGCATCCGACAGCTCCGCAAAATAAAAAACATGAGATTCTGAGTGTGGGGTAGAACACGCTAGAGTACGTTCCGAGCCTTCCTCGTTAGCCTCCGGGGAAGCCGGTAAGACCAACGGACCCCTCGGATCCAAGGTGTTGGCGGCGTCGTCATTGCACATCTTTACAATTGGTAATTATTGTTATCTAGGTATTAGCGTATATAGAAAACATTGGAATACTTGGCATTGAGAAAAACTACGGCTTACAGCTCGGCAGGGGTGAAAAAAAGTTCGAGAGGTGAAGCTTCGACAACTTACATTATCTTCTTAGCCATGGTAGTGGTAGCTATCTACGTCGGATTTATCGGGTTTAAGATATTGCAAATCCTAGTGAATACGAGTAGGTGTGTGTGCGATTTTCTTAGTGCCAAGTATTCCAACGTTTTCTGCACACGCTACCTTAATACGTTCAATCATCCACACGTCGCAGATCAATTCGCGGAAAACTATTATCATTCTCCTTAAGACTATGATGCAGCCATACTCGTATCTTCTCCATCACCCTCCGACAAGGTTCCCAACGTAAGATGATTCCCTCAGTCGCCGGCACAAATGGTCAGATTCAACATACCATTAACCAGTCTAATGCAAAGGGTTCACCCTTCACAGCTGCCTTTCCTGATATGTCTCAAGATTCTCTCAAAGCACCCGTAGCGCAAGATACAGACTCCGACCGGGAGCCAGACTGTGGGCTGCAGGCATCGAATGCTGAATTTCGCGAACAAAAGGCCGAAGAGTCGATAGAAAAGACCAAGGAACAGAGGGGCTGGAGAAAGGTTATCAGAAACTTCACTCCATCGTAAGCTCAAATTTTGATATATCCCCCAGCGTACCTTTGGGCAAACGAGTTGCCTTTCGTCGTTCCTTATATTCACTTTCATGACGTGGTCTGAGAAAATAATTGGCTGAATGTAGATAATTCAATCAGATGGTTCTCGGTCATAATGGGCACCGGCATTGTATCGATACTACTCCACAATCTTCCCTATAACGGATCATGGCTCTACTGGATATCTGTCATCATTTTCGCCTTAAACGTGTTCCTCTTCAGCGTTTTCCTCCTCATATCAATCCTGCGTTACACTATATATCCGGAAATCTGGTTCGCAATGGTTCGCCATCCAGCACAATCACTCTTTCTTGGCACCTTTCCAATGGGTCTTGCGACTATCATCAATATGATTGTCTTCGTTTGCGTCCCCGCATGGGGAACCTGGGCGATCTACCTCGTAAGTGCAAAACCGTGCAAAACCGTCGTGCTGACATGCAAGTCAAGATTCTGACAGCATTAGGCTTGGGCATTGTGGTGGGTGGACGCTGTGATAGCCGTCTTCACCTGTTTCTATCTCCCATTCGTGATGTGAGTAGCTCTGCGGACTTTCCCATATCTCAATGTCTCAATGGAAAAGCTCAGCCGGCTTATCACTTCCAATACAGTATGTACTTCCACAAAACCGAGCTTTCTACAATGACAGCGGCTTGGCTGTTACCGATTGTCGCAACAATCGTCGCGGCAGCTTCCGGAGGTGTTGTCGCTGAAGTCTTGCCTAACCCTAATCACGCCCTGTGGACCGTTATAGTATCTTACATCCTCTGGGGCACCGGTATCCCTCTCGCCATGGTCGTCTTAGTAATCTATTTCCAACGCCTCACCGTACACAAGCTACCTGCACGCGAGGTCATCGTTTCCGTATTTCTGCCGCTGGGTCCGCTGGGCCAAGGCGGCTTTGGCATTATGCAGTTGGGGAAAGTGGCTCTTCGCGTCTTTCCAGAGACCCACACACTTGACATGGCTGCCGGAAATGCCGGAGAAATTTTGTATGTTGTGGGCTGGTTGATAGCGCTCATCATGTGGGGCTTTGCCATCGTCTGGCTTTTCTTTGCGCTCGCCAGCATCAGCCGCAGCAAGTTTCCGTTCAATATGGGCTGGTGGGGCTTTACTTTCCCGCTTGGTGTATTCACCGTTTCAACGACGACACTAGGGAAAGAGATACCGTCGATGTTCTTCGAGGTGCTTGGTACAGTACGTATTCCAATCTGAATTTCCTTGGCAAACAATGGCTGGCTGTATGCAGCCGCGAGTAAGACGAGATCTTGATTATGACACAAACTGATGCGTGACTGTGGTCAGATCTTCTCCATCTTCGTGACGCTGCTCTGGATCATGGTCGCTTGTGAAACTGTGCGCAAGCTCGCTATGGGAAAGCTTCTGTTCGCCCCATGTCTGAAAGATCTAGAAGGCATCCAGCAGGCGCAAGCGAGAAAGCACTTCGGAGAAAAGGCTGTGTGAGGGAGCATAAGCAACGCCATTAAGAACATAAGGAAGAAAGTATGAAGGTGGTCATGCTCCGATTTATATACACGGAATCGCCCAGAGAACCTTCCGTTGATTCTACCCGATTCTAGGGGCTCTGCCTTACGAAGCTTGTGAACCCACGGCGATTCTCAAATCTTCTTCTGCATGAAATCAAGCGAGGCAACTGCCCTTTTTTCAGCAAGCATGCCGAGGATCTCGCCAAAATCAACGCCGCCTTGGAAATCAAGGTCAAAGCTCAATGGGAGTCCGACACAGGCATATGACATGTGGGCTTAATGAGCCCTTCTGGTAAGAAGCCTGAGTGGCGTTTCACTTCGAGGACTGGAAAGGTCACTACCACGGCGAAGGCGGAATCAACTGATATCGCTATCAAAAGAAGGTCCGTATCCTTAAGCTTCTCAAGACCGCTCAGGAATACAAGCGTAATCGACTCGACAGGAAGGTAGTGGAGGGCAAGGCTTCGGCGTATGCCAAAAATCAGTCTTCTTATCAGTCGATATTCTCAGAATGCCATGAGGCGGGAATTAGTCCGATCTCAATTGCATTGAGTCATGCTAGCCTTGAACCTAGCGTTATGTATACTACTTAGGATGGCGCATCCAGGATTCGAAAAGAGGCCGAGGGGGGTTGGAAGAAGTGCTGGACACAGGAACGCTCTCAGAAGAGAATTCAGAATTGGATAGAGCTTATGCCCAGGCATATTCATATAGATCATTCGTCTGAAGGGCGGCAAACGCGTATAGGGTAGGCAATCAGGGAGGGATAATATGACCGTATGATTCGGGCTGACGAGAACATACGAAACCACATGAAGCATCTCCATTAGACAATGGTCTACGCAGAAATGTTTGCGAAGACTGCCAAGCGTTTTAGCGTATGTGCAGGACTTTTGGTGCCGACCTCCGTAGTTTCAGCCCTAATTCATCCGATTAGTCGATGAACCGTATTGCCTCCTCCAAACAACAGAGACACATTTCTCACGACTCGGCGCAAGACCACCAACGAGCTCTCCACCCACCCAGCACACGAACCCGCCCCCGCTACCCAAACACCACACCCACAAACACCCAACCAAAGCAACCATGCCTCCCACCCCCCCTCCCCCCCCCACGCCCCCTCTGACCCTCATAATCCGCTTCACGACCTCCCTCCCGGACCTCCCCCTGCCCATCGTCCACCCCCGCGCCACCACCCCGACCACGCTCGCCACCCTCATCCGGCCGCACCTGCCCCCCGCCCTCGCCGCCTGCCCGCTCCGCCTCATCCACGCCGGCGCCCTCCTCCCGCCCACCGCCCCCCTCCACGCCTCGCTCCGCCTCTCCGCGGCCGGCCCACCGCCCGCCCGCCTCTACGTCCACTGTTCCATCGCGACCGGCGCGCGGCTGTCGCCCGCCGAGCTCGACGCCGAAGCCGAAAGCGCCGCCGTTGCGCTCTCCCAACACGACACCGCGGGCCGGGACGACCGAGCGTCATCATCTGCTCCCGCCCGCACCGCCGCCGACGACGACGACGACTACCGACCGACGCTGCCGCCCCCGGCGCAAGGGTTCGACCGGCTCCTCTCCGCCGGCCTCTCGGCGGCCGAGATCGCCGCCCTGCGCTCGCAGTTCCTCGCCGTGCAGGCGCACACGCACACGCCGGACGCGATGCCGTCGGGGGCCGAGCTGCGGGCGCTGGAGGAGCGCTGGCTGGACGCGGGGACGCCTTTGGACGGGGGAGGGGGCGCGGACGGGGACGAGGAAGGGGGCGGCGGCGGCGGGCTGGAGGACATGCTGTGGGGGAACGTGATGGGGTTTTTCTGGGCGGTGGGGGCGATTGTGTGGTTGGTGCGGGAGGAAGGGGTGTGGACGAAGCGGCGGCAGGTGGGGGTGGTGACGGGGGTGTTGGTGAATATCGCGTTTTGCATGCTGAGGGTTGGGGTTTGATGATGTGAGATTGGGAAGCATTCTATGTGCTGAGGATTGGGGGTTTTGACGACTTTACGCAGTTGGATGATTTGCATTGCATGGGTCGCTGGATCAGTGGGCTTCTTTCTGTTTGGATACATGATACCCAAGGACGTGTGTTTCAGACCTTTTTGGCTCTGGGCGTCTGGAACACTTCAGCATAGCTACGAGGAAGTTGCGGTTGAAATGCTGTTTGTTGATCATATTTCTGGTTCTGCAAGTCAACCAGCACGTAATGCTGGCTATAGCTGAAGCTCATCTATAATGCATGTGGCTCGAGAGCTTCCACCCAACTCTAACCCCAAACTCAAACCCAAAAAACAGGACACTGCCTCCTGCACATTTGGACAACGTTGTGATGGTATTGTACACAGCGAAGCAGAAGCTCAAATGCAAAACCCAAGCGATCAGCCATCAAGGCTAACAAGAATTAGATTACTGTGTAAGAGCCGTTGTATGTAGTTTCGTTGCACTGATGAATACGCAGCCATGATGATCGTGTCCGAGGACACGAGGCCGTTAGGATGGAAAACGCCGATCCCGCTATGCATATTGTGGATAAGATTTAGAGAAGTTGGGTCAAAGGGTTCATTCGCAATGCTTGAAGCAGCGTCCTTTGGGGAAAGGACAAAGGAGGCGCAGTCATTTACAGTCGTTCACGAATGTGTTAGTTGGCCACGAATGTGAGGTTTGATGCCTGACCACCAGCGTGTTAGCAAAGCGCAGCGAGCAGTGTACATTCACATACCATTGTGTCAAATTCGGATTCGTGTAAGCGTTCACGTGGTTGGCGATATAGTCCGTTGTCTCATACCCTTCGGGATCACACGTGACACTGGACGAAGAGGAAGGATCCTGGTAGATGCGGACGTAGTCAAAGCGCATGGTTGCAGGCAGGGTAGCTTCAATGCCCGGGAGATCGACGTTAGAAAACCCAGTGGACATGCCAAAGTTCATGACGACTGCCATGGGCTCCACTGGTATGACTCGTTGTCCCACATTGCCGTTGGGGCCAATAGCTCGAGCATCCAGAGTCCATGCCTCAATATCGGCTACAGACCACGTTACACGGCCAGTTGGTCCGGGGGTATAGTAAAAATTATACGTTGCATAGCCATTGCCGTCGTACCAGTCATTGTTGATATTCGTCAGGCCGGACAAGGCTTGTTGGAATGGCGCTCCCTGGTAAGTATTGAGAAGTGTGATAGAATTATCATAGACTTCGATGAAATCTGTGTCTTTGTCAGCTTCGATGCAGAGGGAGAGGAATTACACATAAGAATGGAATGGCGTCACCTACCAGTATTTGGCTGGTACCAGATGTCGAAGGGAGCAAGCTGGCAACTCTGAGACACCACACCTGTCATATCGGTGTTATCGAGGCCCAGGGGGGAAACCGTAGCTTCGAGCACGTCAAGTTCAGGCGCCGACCGTGATTTGCCTGGTGTTGGGTGATCTTGGCCTGCGCATGTACAAGCCGGCAATCGCATTCCTGGCTGGTAGCTGATCCCATCGTTCGAGCTCTGATTTGCTGTTATCCCAGGGTCGCAGGTATTACCATAACTGAATGGCCACATTCCGTCCGTCGTAGCTGCATAGCCTGGTCTCCCCAGGTTTCCCATAGCCCAGAACCCAGGCCAGAAGCCTTGTACGTCTCCTCGCCCAGGTAAAGATAAGGAAGCCTCGAGAAGCCCACCAGTGAAACACATCTGATTCCACGATTGTACCATCCCCGAGCGATAGTTCAACCCGTGGTTCTCGAAAGCATCGAATCTGAGCTCGAGAACACCACCCTTGGTCGTGACGGCGTCTGGGTCGTACCACTCCAAATCTTGAGTTACACCATACCACAAGTTCACGGCAGTAAAGAAGGGGTCGTCTCCAGGATAGAAAGTGCGGCCATCTGTGTTGAACTCGTCCGAGAAGACCAGATTCAACGTCGTCCCGTCTGCAGCCGTCTTTGTCTTCATATCGCTTGGTGTGTCCGGATCTATTAAGCTGGTGCGAATGTTTTTCAACAGAGGTATCTTCCCGACATCAATACAGTCTGGATCCGAGGCGCACTCATTTGGTGGAGGTTCGAATCTTTGCACGAATGTTCTACGCACTTGTCAGCATAGGCACCAAGTACGCGATAGATCAATGGTTCCTACAGTATAGGATAGCCAATGAAGAGGACCAATAGTCCTAGGACCACAAGACCAAGACCACCGATGTTGGCTACTCCTCGTTTAGTGAAGATATTACACTCCCTCGACTCCTTCTCGTTTGGATCAGGATTATGTAACCAGTCATCTTTTTCTACATCTTCTGGGAATAAGAGAAGTCCAGCCGAGGGCAATATGTTATACTTTTCAGATACTGTTTGGGTGTTGACATGCTCATCGTCGCTGCCCGCTCTTGATGGAGCTCGTGATGTTGCTCTTGAATCTGCAAAAGGGTCCCTTCCGTAACCTCTGCCATCTGAGCTGAAACTGGTTCTTCGCGATATCCCCTCCACCGGCGATCCGGGGACTGACTCTTCGTCTCTGAATCTGTGTGTTCTTGATCGTGTTGGTGGAATGAGCAGGCTCTCGGCTGAATCCATGGGACCGCCATTGTACATGCGATTCAGAGTGGGATTGTTTCTTACTGACGGCGCCGTCAAGGGTCTTTGTGGAGGGAGTAGGGATCGCGCGGACTTCTGCCTGCTTGGCCCTGTCGGTCGGTTGTTGAGGACATCATTTGCGAGGAGATTGTTTTGCGAGCTGTTGAGGCGCACATGAGGCATATCTCTCTCTAATGGGGTGCCAGGCGGCGATGTTGATCGACTGTCAGCCATGTTGCGAGATTGATCGAAGCTCGGTCAACGAAGGTCGCCTTCTAGGGTCAGAGGATTAGTGAAAGTGGAGGTAATAGAGAGCCCCAATATGGCGATATGGTGAAGGCCAGCCTCCCCCCCGCCTTGGCGTTATCGTTGGAAAATCGCTGGGTAGGAGTGTGGTAAGATCATCGGTCTCGGTGATAATGTCAGACGAACAGCAACAATAGGATCAATGGTATGATTGGAAGGATGAGACAGCTGTGAAAGGGATTCGAAGGTGCAGATGAAGGCTCAAACGAAGGTAAGAGGCAAGAGAGCCGAGTACTGTAGAATTTGTATGCAAGTTGTATGGTTTTGTGGTGGTACGTAGAGTATGTTTTTTGGTAGAGTGCGCGTGACAGCAGTCTGAAAAGGAGTGCCAAATCAGTGCCAAGGCTCAGCAAGATTTGACGGTGACTATCACTACCTTATTACCTTAGTCTATCGAAATGGGCCCCGGCTACCCGGCCCTAAGGTAGTTGGACAAGCGATCATGCCTAAAGTAGTGGTGGAGCCTCATTTCTATTTATACATGTAGTAAGCAGCATAGCAATAAGTACTGTATTGCCACTCCAACGCCATCTCCAATCTACTCTACGTGCGCAAGTAGATCTGCTGGCTAAACATCATACATCTACGAGTACTATCCCTCTGCACGACATAGAAAACTAATCCATCCTAACGCCTCTTCCTATCTATGTTTCTGACCCTGGCCACCACATGTACATCTGAAATATGGGACACTCCTTTATCGTTTCTGGAAGCTTTGGTCTGAACGAGATTTGAAGGTGAAAAAGGATTGGGACATTTGAAGGAAGGAACAAGAAAGAAAAGCAAATCAGATCAGATCAGAGCAACAAGGACAAAGAACCGGAGTTTGTCAAAGGTCCTCCCCTGGCCATGGTACATGCTTCGTCACGCACCGCGCTTGAATAGCTATATCTGCTATCCTCAATCGTTTGCGTCCTCGATCCATTAGAGGTGACAATCAATGTCTGTGCCTAGCGAACCCCAATTGACAGGATACCTCAATCCCTCAGCTTTCTACAGCCTTAGCCTTCAATCCCACGACCCTTCCGCCTTCTTTATCGAAGCCAACGACATAGTATTCCAGTCTCGTCTTGCCATGCTTTACCCGATATATCCTTGTCTTGCCATCCCCCGACTGCTCGACTGCTTCCATGACCTTCTTGTACTCTCCCTGCGGGTCGAATTCTTTCGCGGTCAAGGTCGAAACCTCGGAATCGTGCTCTATGAGTTTCCCAAACTCGTCTTCAGGAAGGCGCTGTTAGCGTACATTCAACGTCTGTCGGGGCGTAAAGAGGCTGCCTGTTGTGGCTGCATACTCTCTGATGGCATATTGTTCCCACTCCATTTCAAGCTCACAGGCTCAAAGGGTTCGTCAGACTCAGACGTGTAGTACTGATCCACCTTCTGCAACGTGACCGGCACATCGGTGTCCACGGCTTTTGTGGCTGCCGATTTGGATTTCGTAGAGGCTTTGCTCGCACCAGTGTCCTGGTTGGCTTGGTCGAGGAAAGAAGAGTAGGCGTCGTCAGACATGGTTCTCAATGATTCCTTAAGGTTACTTGGCTGATGCCGTTTGAACTGCGTGTGCCTGCAAAAGAATTGGGAATTTGCAAATTGGACACTGCTGGCAAGTTCTACGCGAGCTATGATATGACGCAAAGAAGCGCGATTACCCTTAGTGCGCTTGATCAAGCTTCGAGGACAAGAGTTGATAGCTCGTCGAGTGAAGGAAGATACTAACATTCAAAAGCCTCTTTGCTCATGGCAGGGCATGGACCTTGAAAGCGAGTAAAATGGCTTTCAGCCTGGCCCCAGTGGTCTTATCGATTAGGGCTTGGCTCACTCGAAACTCGCGCGGGCGTGGCTGCTTTGGCGAGTGAGCTAGAGCACGAGTAAAGATCTCATCAGGCACGCAGGGTATTCAAAACCTGCAAGGAGAGATAGGCCTTAGAGTCTTTTATTTTGCTGTACTCTCTTATCATGCGATAATTATTCACCCTACGACACTCTCCTATCCTGTGATACTCTCTTACTCTGCAATATTCTATAATCCAACGGTACTCTTCTACCCTACGGTACTCTCTTGTCCTTACTCAACAAGAACAGAATCGACGGACACCATCAAAGTTCTTCATGGCTCCCACTTTCGCACACGCGATACTATTCGGGGGTGAATGACCAATGACCAACGATCTACTTGGTAATATGATTGTGATTTCCATAGCTTTCCGCTTCCCCACGTCTTGAACGTGCTCGAATGTCTGGACATTCTCTCCAACGCTAGCCTCGAGGTACGTCTGGTATCACAACGATTGGCTGACGAGACGGCATCCGAGGACTCGCGCATGTTCGATCATAGTAACCGAACAACGCAGCGCAATTTTCCCAACCATTACCCAGAGCTCCTTCGCATCTATGCACCCGTCGCAGTTCCTGCACTAATAGCGAGATGGACTTTCACAAATGTAATCATCAGAGCCCCTGCATCATTCTCTAGTCATCGCTAAAATTGTTTTCACAGCACATCAGAGACTTGAGCGTCCAAATACAACACGAACACATGGAGCCACAACAGCCCTCCTGTTTTTTCTTCTCTGGAGAAATTTCGTGATAAATACTGATGATCTGAGGCGGCTAGCCCGGTTGACTCGGTTCGCTCTGTATTATACATATTGCATCTGAGGAATTCATTAGCGCTCGCTTTTGCTAAGTGTTGAGAATCTGTCTCACGGGTGGCGACGACTGATGACTAGTAGATAGAAGAGGACACAGTCAGCCAAAAGGTTGCACCAGTAGAACCCGTTTGCATTCTGGTGGTGAAATTGACAGATAGAAGCTATGCGAACCTCTGCTGGGGCGATTGGAGCATCTTGGGCGTGGGAGGCTGCGAGGAGCCTTTCTTATCTTTTTTTGCCCAATCTTTGCTCCTCATCTTTGAGCCGTGAACCTAGATACAGACGAGCTTATGAGGATGTAATAACGAGCAAATCGATTGACTACCCTAGTTCGGGCTTTGAAATTCAAGAAATAGTGTGCCAGAGCAGCAGGAGGCCGTCCTTTTGAATCTCAAGTACATATGCGAAGTACGAGACGAGCAATGGAGCTGAAACATTGCGGTCCAACATACAAGGCAAAGGAAGCAGACATCTTTGATCTTATACGAAAAGGGTACGCTACGCCGTGGAGCAGCGTGGTATCGCAGGGGTTCAGGGGGGGAAAGTCTTGACACCATGCAGGGCTTTTGAGACCTCAGTTGCATGTAGGACATGTAGCAACAGGCTGTTAGTGAAGAAGGCAGGGTTTCTCAACCAATGGCTTGGAGTCTGTCAGGCTGACGCAGGGTGATGTTCACTATCACGGCATAATGAAAACCGGAAATGGATAATTATCTGTCCTCGTATGTAGTTTCCGGCTCTCAGAGGTCAATGGGTGGCTTGAGAGTACTGCATTGTTGAGTGGCAGCGGAAGAAAGAGAGGAGGGTGTGATGTACTCGATGAAGGCTTACAGGAGAAACGATAACTTTTGTCTACTTACAGGCGGAAAATGTCACTCCCAATGACCATCCAAAATGGACATAGTGACGTTCAAGCCAAGCACATGTAAGGGGACCTGTGATCCACGGGAATTTCCTCAATGAGAACATAGCAGAGTAGGCTAGTGTACGTCGCATGATTGATGTTCGGCGCGCTCACCCTATCTAGGCCGGGACAGATCTCTGTCAGCTTGGCCGGTCAAGCAGACAAACGTGTGATAAAAATCATAGAGGCCTGAATAGGATGAAGGCCTCTGCTTTTTTTGTGTCATCTTATTGACCGACCCAACTAAAGTGGATTTCCTTTCCATTCCAGCAATGCATGTGGTAATCTCGCTCGACACTAGCTCTGAGTATGAAGTAAACACAAGGAAGGCTAAGCAGCAATAGGCAAGTCCTTCTTCAACTTCCCCAGGTATTGCTTCTTCTCTGCTTGAGTCTGGTATGCTCCGTGTCCGAACTTGGAGGACGTATCGATCCATTTGAGATCTACCTTCTCCAGCGCTTTCCGACTCGTGTGGACGAACATCGATTTGCGTAGCGTGACGATTCGCTTCTTGACGCCAGGGATTGCACCCTTGAGAATGATGAAGTCGCTCTTGACCTCGCCATACCGCACGAAACCACCCATACTAGGTATTGATCAGTTGAAGTCTGTAGTAGTAGCAAGACTCGGTTGACTTACGGAGTGATCTGCTTCTTTGAGACATCGAATTCAGTTGAAGCATTGTCAGCTGCTTCTCCAGAGCCAATGCGGTAGACTTTATGATTGACGGAAGTACGATGGTGATATCCATTCTGACCAGCGCGGGCGACAGTCCATTGCACGTGCGAAGGATGCCACGCTCCAATACACGCAACCTTGCGCAGACCCTTGTGCGTCTTCCTCGGAAGCTTCTTAGTACCCCATCTGGCCGTGACACCTGTAAAGCCATGTCCTTTTGTAACAGCAATGGCATCGACCATCTCATCCTTCTCGAAGACCGAGTTGATCTCCACTGGCTTCTCGAATAGGCCCTTGCCAAAGTCCACCTTTTCAGCCACGCTACCACCGTTGACCTGGATCTCCATCAAGTGTGCCTTCTTCTGCTTGAGAGGTGTCTTGCTGATCTGAGTATGTGCGAGAACGCGGACAACGGTACAGTACTTCTTAATGCGCTCGAGTTCGCGGTTAATGGGCTGACCGGATTCCTCTGCGTGCTTCTTGGCGTACTTGGTGAAAGCCTTCTTCTTCGATTTGTACCAGTTCTTGTAGAAGCGTCGCTTGACTTCGTCGCTCAGATGCTCAGCCCAGACAGTGGTAAGAGAGCGAAGACCACGAGGAGTCTCAATGTAACCCACGAGACCCACGACCATCATCTGAATTCCTCGTTCAGTTCATGTGGTGAAGGAGAGGGGTTTAACATACGGGAGGTGTCTCAATGACAGTGACGGCTTCAACGACCTCTTTCTTGTGCATCTTCGCACCTGGACGATCAAGATCTCGGACGATTGTAGTCATACCAGCTTTGTATCCCATAGCGGCGGTCAAGTGGACAGGCTCCTTGGGATTGTCTTTGGGGAAGCTCTTGACCTGGACATCAATTTAGCAAAGATGGCCGTGGGAATTGAGCCCATTGATTTTACCTTGCCACGGTGTCTGCTTGCACGCTTCCTCGGCAGGAAGGCCAAGGAGCCATGACGGGGTGCCTCAAACTTTCTATGCGACATCTTGAATGACAATCTGTTGTAGTCAAGTAATAAGAGTGAGAGGAGGAAGGTTGTCTATCAAGAACTCGCGTGTAATTTTTGGTGGCCCTCGCTTATTTTTAGCCCCACCAGCCTTACTATAGGGCTGACTTTCAAGGTGTCCCTCCGAGCCCTCTCAGCTCAGCTCATAGATACATTAGTTTCTCTTGTTTCTATTGAACCATGTTTTTAGATCAAATAGATCATTGTGTGGCAGGTCAACCCTTTTCTACAATAGTGCTCCTGTTTTCAGACCTCTAAGGAATTTGAACGGCGAAGGCTGCCACTTCCTCTAGGAGCTCGCCTGGTCTTTCTCTCGTCTCCTCCACCCCGGCAGATTCCCTGCTGCGAATACTCAGTCGATGAACGTATGATGGCAGCATAGCTCTCCATCATATCTTCATTGAAATGGTCCAGAAGACTGAGCTGCCTGACGAGCTTTGTAAGTCTTTCTGTCTCGCCGCAAGCTAACACTACATTCCCCATACCTGGGAGACTTGATAGCTGGGCAGTCAATTAGAAGGCTTTCGCAGTGGGACGTGAGGGGATGGGCTAGGCCATGCGAGAGAATTGAGTTGAAAAACATGGGGAAAGCTTTGGTGTTGAGGTCCGTTAAAAGCGTGTTGTGTTTTGGTTTCTTCAGGAATAAAAGGCCTGCTCATGAAAGCCAGCGGGGTACTAATCCCGACGTTGCATTGCTTGGAAGAATAAAAGTAATTCAGCGACATCAAACAATCAATGCAGGCTGAACCATGTTACATCTCAGCATAGGCGCAAGTGATGAGCAATCCTCCAGCATCTCCGGCGTACACCGTTGGAAGCAATTTTTCATGCCTCTTCCTGACCCAAAGCATCTATGTTTCTTACTGTATTCAACCTGTCCAATGCACAGCCTGTTAACCCGTCTTTTGTGGTGCAGGGTTGCCCGTCTTCGTTTGCGGCTCGATATCCACGAGATTACCATTTTGGAACGCAAGGCCTTTGTACAATAAGCAGCCGAGGAGGCCAAGGTAAGCATTGCCTTCTGCGTCTTTTCATGCCGAAAATCCCAACGATGCCGCGTATCTATAGCCTAAGGTGTTTCCCGTCAAGACACCACCCTTGAGATCCAGAGTTGCACCACCCACCTTTGTGTGCGTCATCTTATGCAGCAAAATCTTCTCGGAAAAGGCGTGTAAATCGATATTGAGTAGATATTTTCTTTCCAATATGTACTTGGCCTATGGGTTTGGTGGAATTATTATCGTAAATCCTAGATATTCTGGTTTTACCAACATCCGTAGGGACATCGACCAACCATCTGACAAGAACGATGGTGATCGGTGGTTGATCCACGCAGCCGTATGATTCTAGCTAAAGAAAAAAGTATCTTACTGAGGGTCGACCTTCGAAGCATCCGGTCACATCTTTTCTGCAGCATATGATGGAAATAGTGGGCATGTCCTGATGACATCTGGCCTGCGCGTGGGTCTTGTCTCATAGGATGAAACGAAGAGTCTGCTTACCAGCATGCCTCGTCGGTGCTACGTACGCATTGACCATCCGTCCTTGGGATATATCGCTGTTTTTGCACTTCATGAATATCCCCTCCGGATCCGCTAATTGCCCAAATCCCAGCTTCGAATTGCACCATTCTGTCTTGCCCTCCTTGTTTGTTATTTCAGTCAGGTCGTCAAAATCCCAGATGATGAACTTGAAGTCTGAGAAGAGCCTTCGTGAGGTGACGCATCACTCACGAATTCATCTTTGCCCATGTGCGCCAGCTTGACAGGAGCAAGAGGGTCCCAGCTTTTGTATTCCGAAGCCTTCGCAAGACCCCGCAGCTGACCTATACATGTATTTTAGAAGGAGACAATCCCTTGCTGTTGATCTTTGGACTCACCCAGCGCCTTTTTGAGATATTGGCTCTCCTTGAAAAGGTTGGTACCACTTGTTCTGAGATATGCGTTGCCCTTCTTGGCCAACTTCACAATTGTATCGGCCCACAGAAAACTTTGCTCGACTGGTGGCTGCATGAAAGGTATGGATTGGCAATTTGGGTGCAAGTAACAGGCTTGCACGCCTGCGATCAGTACTAGAATTGATGACAAGCCGGCCCAGATTTCACTATCCTGCGCGACACCATTGTTTCTAGATATGGAGTGACGATGCTACGTCGAGGGAAGACGGAGAAGCGATACAAAGATTACACTCTTATTTCACTGTTGCCCGGTAGTCACTAGTCTCGTGTCTGCTCTCCGACAAAAGACATACGCGAAGACGCAAGTAGCGAGGGACCAAGTATAGTAGGTTGGAGGCATCCTAAACAATTGAATGTTCTGAGTTGATCGCATTGATATGCCAGCAAACACCGACATATTGTATCGGAATAAAGTCCTTTGCGTTGTCATAAAAAGCTTGAACAAAGCCAACGCGCTTTGACTATTGGTTGGTGCTACAGTAGTACTTCCTCAGGGCAAGCCTATCTTGAAGCTTGAAGTATCAGAAGCGAACCACCTCTGGAAATTGAAAATTTGGGTAACGTGAGAACGTGACTGACTTTCCGCCTACAACAATTTTCAACCTTGTCGAGGAAAATCACTTTTATCGCCCGCTGTTTCCCAAACATGAGAATAGACCGAATTTACCAACATTACTCAAGAGGTCTGAGTCGCCATCGTTTCAGGTTGATCAGTAAACAACCATATCAAATATGTTGGAGGTTTCCAACTTGCTGCAATACCTTGCTGCTAGATAAGAGAGAGCATTTTGAGGCTTTTCATGTGATGAGAATTTGTACAAATACTTCTGGCTGTCCGCACAATACAACAGAACTTTCAAGGATATCTCGTTCATACCCCTTGCTTGCTGCGGACTCTTGGTCATAAAGTGTTCGCAAGTGTCCAAACAAGTACCATTTTCTCCTACCCTTGATCGGCAATTCTCTTTCCCGTACAACAACACGATTCTACCTCTAAACTTTGATTTCCTTGCGGGCAGGAAAATATGCACGACCTTGTTCGCGTTCTCGTAGGTGCAGCACTTATTCGCTTTGCAGCCTGCTCTGTGGCTAAGTCCTACGACCATGTCGAATCACATCACCTACCACGAGATTGTCGGGCCTAGAGAAGCGACAGGCCCCGTTTATCGTCAACCCTTGCCCCGTCTTTTTTTTTGAGACGAACGACAGTATTGCTCATACTGCGAAGGAGACTCGAAGGTGAAAGGAGTTTGTGACAATGCTCGGTACACTCAAAGCGTCCCGCTTTTTTCTTCCTAGCTCAACTGAACAGGAGCACAGTCTAAATGGTCTGATAACGCCATGGTCTCGAGCCCAAGGACTGTGTGAGATCTACTATCTATGTCGACCGGATATGCAGCACAATGGACCTTCTAGAATGATTTAATTCATCAGTATTTTCTGCCCCGAGAGGTATGGCCTGCAAATGCAGAAATGCTCTGACCCTAAATTTGGCGGTGATGCATACTATGAGGGTATCTGCGATAATATTTTAGTAAGTGGTGCTCAAGGACCTGGATGTCCCCGGGGAGGCTGCGCCATCCCTTAATGATGCGACTTTCTTTTCTTTGCCTTAGACTTGTTCGTCAATGGCGATTCTCATGCCCCAAATCTCCAGCGGCGACACACTATCAGGGCTATCCAGACACCATTCAAACTCTCGGCGAATGGAACATCTGGCTACCAGTGGACTCGACATCGCCGTCTCCGCGGCAGAGAGCTCCGCAACCTGTACGGTAGTGACCTGCAGCCTAGTAACAAGTACAAAGCATCCAGGTGAGTGCGGGACAGCAACGCATGCACTAAGGAACATGCAGAAGAGCAGCATCAGGCAGGCGAGGGATCCTCGCTTGTGGGGTTCTTGACGCGCGTTAATGCAGCCGCATTCTCATGGCCCATTGTTAAGACACAAGGTCAGGAATGGACTCCGAGCATCAGCGCCCAATCCTCTTGGAAAAAGGCTAGCGTTGATACTGGTAGAAAATTAGCAGCCAAGTCTTTCGCTTCGATGTGCGGAGCGGCAGGGCTCGAAGGAGGAGGGTAAGTCTACGGACGGCAGGAGATCACCTGGGCGAAATCGGTTCCTGTACAAGATCGCTGCCTGAATCGCAACATGCCTTAGAGGAGAGGAGAGGAGAGAAAGGCTAATAATCAACACAATGATTTTAGTATTACGGTGTTCCCTGAACTTGGCTTCATATTCGATTGCTGCGGGTTGGATTCAAGCTTTCGGCACATTGCGCAAGAACGTGTTTCGGTAGTTGGCTGGACTTCTTGATTGTAGTTCCACCTACACAAGGACCATCTGTGCCTCCCTAGATACCGTAGGCCGTGATCAATTTCGCTTGACGTGGGCTCATCAATGGGCTAAGAAATTTCTTCGCCTCTATGAGGGGAGTTTTGGTGCGTGGGCTTCCCTTGCTATCTGCAAGAGCGGTAGCTCAGCACCGTAGGTACACGATACATCGCTACCCTTGCAGATTATTCTCTGCTGAGATTTGTGCACTATCATTGCTCAGATGATTGCTAAGATTTGCTGGAGGGGCCTCAAGCTCCCGCTGTCCCCTGAGGCACGAGGTTTCGTAGCGAGAGGTCATAGACGACGTCTTCGATCTTCTTCACCTAGGATTCTTAGGTCATATGGTTCCCAATTGACAACTGTACTCACATTGTATTTGATACTATCGCTTCGCTTGCGCAGCGTGTCGTTTTTCAGGTTCAGGATTTGAAAACCAGCGTGGAGGTCCTTGACGAATCGACTGATTTCTAGAGGTCGGTGGTAGTCGCCAAGTGTCACGGAGTTGACAGCTAGGCGTGCCAGCTCTTCGATGAGACTTATAAGAGAGTGAAGGTATTCTTCGATTGTCATGTGGAAGACATCTGAGCATATATCGGAGTCAGCATTGCTTCTTCAAGCCGCGAATCTGAGGTATGGTCCTACTACCACAAGGATTTCTTTGGTCACGAGACCTCGCAATTCGGGTTCTGATCCTAATAGGAAGGAAATCATTGCGAAATGTACGAACCTTGTGTTTTAAGGCTAACCGGCACTGGGCTTGCGTCAGTACGATTGAACTTTGCATGATTGCGGGCTGCTTACCGTAGAGCAGCTTACCCACCTCCTCAATTGCGAACAGCTCCCCCTTCTGTCCATTGTAGTCCGGCATATGGCTGCGAAGCCAACCCCAAAGAACGATAGCGAAACTCTGTTCCTGGTCAGTACATGATTCGGAAGCTTTGTTGCTGGCCTGCATACCGCATTCTGCATTTCTCTTGACCACATGTTGTTGTATCTGTAGTATGGATGCTTCGATGCTACCTTATTGAGCTTGCCAATGGTTTCGACTTGTTTGCTAATGGATTCCCAGGCCTCGGAAAGAGTGCTGCTAACTGCTCATGTGGATCAGCAGTAGATCACGGCGAGATGATGGAGAGCTAAAGCTGACGGTCTGTCTGAGGGATGGAGTGGGCTCGAGAGAGAATTGACATTGTAGTCCTGTCTTTGAGAAGTTTAGTAGGCATGAGGCAGGTCGCAAGCTGTAGATTGGCAAATACCTTGCCTTTCCATAGCCTGTACGATATTGCGGAGCTCTTCACGAACCTGAGCATCCTCATCGAGCTTTGCTTGGAGATGCTCGAAAATCGCCGGGCTAAACATGCTCTTCGGCACTGAGTCTGAGCTTGCCATGACAGTAATTGAGGAAGCTGAGAACTGCTAAGATTAGCTAGCTACAAATGCAGGGCATTTTTTGAAGGCGGGTTTTTAGGATAGCAATTGTCAGTGAAAATCTGCTGCCCATCAAAGAATCAAGGAATGGAGTAGGATACTTGATAGGTTTGGAGGTATTTTGGGTCACTCAGCGGAGCTCACGAACAGGGCTGCAGGGTAGCTCCTAGCGCCAATCAAGCGAGCACACGAATTCCGCCATGATTTGCCTTTCTCTCCATATTCAACGAACATCCATATCAACAACAACAAGAGCGCAGGATCAAACCTCTTTGCGTTCAAGATGGCTGGAGCTACAGTATGTATTGCACTGCTTTGCTGTTCTCCCCATGCCTAGCGCTGGGGCACTAAGAGCAGTAGGCTAAGTGTTACCTCCGCAATGTAGAAAACTCAGCGCACCAGCGCTCTGCGACAAGCACCCCCGAAAGGCCAAAAGCCTGGCAAGATCACCAAGAAGGTATAGCGAACTCTCATGCTCTCCCATCTTCAGCGTTCCCAAGCAATCGCTAACGTTGCGGCTCCTTTTTTCAGTTCATCATCAACGCCTCCCAGCCCGCCTCAGACAAGATCTTCGACGTGTCCGCCTTCGAGAAGTTCCTCCACGATAAGATCAAGGTCGACAACCGCGTGGGTAACTTAGGCGACACGATCCAAATTAGCCAGCAGGGTGAAGGGAAGATTGAGGTCATTGCGCACACTCAATTCTCCGGGAGATACCTCAAGTACTTGTGAGTGCCTTCACCTCTCATACCTGGGAAGAAAGGAAAAGCAAAAGCCCACAGGCCACGAAGAAGATCTTCGGGTTGGCTTACACTAGGACTCTAGGACAAAGAAGTTTCTCAAGAAGCAACAACTGCGAGATTGGCTCCGTGTGGTCTCCACATCCCAGGGTGTCTACGAGCTGAGGTTCTTCAATGTGGTGAATGATGCAGATGAGGATGACGACGAGTAATGTACTCTCATGTCGTTGGAATGACGAGTGTTAGATAGAGCTAGAGTCCACAAAGCCATTCACAACTTAACCTTGAGACTTGCAGAGGTACTCGTGCTTTTCTGATAGGTTTGCGGTAGCCCCTGATTCAAAAGGTTCAAGAGGTTTTCCATACGTAAGACCAAGCTTTCGATTGGTCCATGAACGCCCGATCCTTTCGCCTTCGCTTTTCGCACACCAACGTTTGTTGTTTCATTTTTCCATTGGAAATTAGCCGTCCCTTTGCGGATGCTTGTGGGGCCGGCCGCCGAGCTGAGCGGGTAGCTTGCGCAAGGCACACCCGACCTTCCAAAAAGCGTCGCAGTCCGCTCTACTGGATACTTCGCTCCGGCCATCATACTGCTTTGCGCTTTGTCCTTGATGGCATGTGCTGCTAACCTGGCCACTGACTGGCTTCTCGTTGCCATGCCTCCACTGCCTGCGATTCGTTTGCTCCCATAAGATCGACGACATACGTCGGCTTTGGCATCCATTCCAGGCAATGCCCACCGCGCTGAGTATGTCAGGAACACCTGCTATGACGTCTCTGGGGAATGAATGTTCAAGATAATGGAGAAGAATAGCATATAAAGATGCTGAAGCTCCCATAGCTTTGGAGATAGTCAATACACGACCAGCACTCGCACAACAGATTCACAAACCAAAGAACGAATAGCCAAATTTCCACAACATGCATGCATTGAAGGTATGTATGACCTCAAGCATTGCTGTTCCTCCGATTCTTCCACCTATTAACAGTCCACAGGTCCTCGTCGCACTGGCCTTCGCCGTGCCCGTCCTCACAAGCCCCCTCCTTCGTGTTCGTCACCCTTTCTGCATCTCATTCGCCTCGATCTAACATCGACCAGCGCCAATGTGCTGAAACTTGCGGCAATACATGCTACTCGCAAGATGACATCAACGCCGCCGTGCAACAAGGCTACGGCTACTACGAGGACGGGACCACAGTGGGCAACGATGAATATCCTCACCAGTACAAAGACTACGAGGGCTTCACCTTCCCAGATGCTGGACCCTATTACGAATTCCCCATCCTGAGTGATGAGCAGGTGTATACTGGAGGCAGTCCGGGAGCCGATCGGGTCATCTTCACCGGAGATGGGACGTACGAGGGCGTGATCACACACACTGGGGCTACTGGGAATGATTTCTTGCAGTGTACTGCGGATTAGAGCAGAGCATGGCTGTTGGCTTAGAGTCATCTCCCATTGTTGCGATTAATATTGAGTGAGAGAGTCCGATCCTGAAGCGGTGGTCTCCATGGTCTTGAAGTCGTATACGTCTTTGGCGAACGCCGTCTTGTACAGTACTGTTTGTATCCTCCACTTTTCATGCCGTTGCTACTTTGCAAGGCTTTGATTTTCTTTAGTTGCCAGTTTATTAGCCCGGCTCGGCCTTGATCATAGCGATATGCACGCAATTCGCTACTACCTTTATGCGCATTATGCGATATGAATATGAGTCTCCTTATTAGACTGCAGAACCATCCTTCTTCAGAACTAAAGCTTCTTCAGTCTTCACACCAACATCCAACATGCTCATGCGTCTCTCTACCCTCGGCTTGCTAGCTTTAGCAAATGCCTCGCCAGATGCGAAACGATGTTTGTCCCTTCCAGGACCACAAACTCTTCTCGATGCTAACTTCGAGGTGTCGCAGCTAACTACGACATGTTCATGACCGGCCAGTACACCGTTGCCAACTGCGGAGGAAACACGTCCCTCGTCGTCCACCTCCTCAACAGGCTCTACACCTCTCTCCTGCCCGTGATCGAAGACGCCAAATCCACCAACACAAGCCCCGCCTACGATGCGTTCTTCAAAGACCCTTCCTCCGCCCCCTTTGTATCCGCGCTCTTCACCAACGTCACGAGCGGCGTCGCTTTGACCCCCCCCGCACCCTATTCCCTCAACGGCGCGCCCACTTTCCTCTGCGTGACCGAACCCGGACAGTTCATGTACAAATTCCATGGCCAGAAGGACGCCTACGCCGAGTGCCTGGCCAACCCGACCACGACGTCCAACTACGTCGGCTTCGATCCGCCCAAGCAGTACATCATCGTCTGTCCTTCATTCTTCACCAGCACCATCGTGTCCGTCCCGCCGCCCAACACCTGCTTGACGGTCAACACCTACATCAACAGATTCCACGGCGACGGGCAGAGTTTCTGGCTCTACAAGATGTGGATCGTGCTGGAGATGATCACGCATTACTACCTGTTCGCGTCCACGGGCCTCCTGACCATCACCAACACGAACGACGCGAACAAATGCTTCCGCCTAGCGGCCGAGCAGTCGAGGTTGAACGCGAACAACTACGTGTACTATGCCGCGAGTAAGTCTTCTTCGATTGGAGATATGAGTCGAAGGATTGACAACGTGGAGAAACGACCTAACCCTTTCTGAATAGGTGTATACGGTTCCTGCAACGATTTCCCAGCCCCGCCCACGAGCGGCCGCGAACTGTTGGAGATTGATATAGAGGACCCGTCGGACAATGGACCCGACGATGCGGGTCCGGCTGCTGTCACGTTCATTGCGACGGATTTGGAGATAGGGGTGGAAGACACCACAGGCACGCCGTGAACACTTGATCGGGAGGGCCGAGTTCGTGTGGGATGGGTTGAGGGAATGTTACGATCGTAGTTTAGAGCGAGAGAGAGAGAAGAGATAGATTGTCCGTTTCCAACTTTTCTGACAGACAGATGAGACTACGTATAAATCGAGCAGTCTTGCCAATCCTTCGTGCCCAGAAGTTTGAGAACATGTGCAGTGCTTGTGCCTTCATTTGTGCTTGGGTTCCTCTGTCTGCCACTGCTCTATCCCAGAGTGATGACTATTCCCGCGAGCATTAGGTTACTAGAGCTGTAGTCCTTTTCCGTGGCTGCTACCCTGGCGAAGTGCTTTCTGGATTGTATATTTGCACAGCAATTACAATAAAGACTTGCATCTTCAAAATCAGACGAAGAAAAGGTACAAAAAACCCCCCTCAAAATCCCCTCTCTAACCCGCCCTCGAAGCCCCTCTTTGTTTTTTATCCGCATTTCCAGTATTCCAAACTGGCAAAACGACTCTTAACCAGTCCTGAGGGGTGGAAAACACAGGAAGTAGGCTTCTCAGGAGTGATTTATCGCCAGTTTTACACCATTAGGTATGTGCACTCAGAGGACCAGCACAAGGCGGAACGGATACCCTCTGGTGGCCAGAAAGATTCATGGTCACTCCTTCACCATTGCACTAATTAGGCTTTCTGTGGAAGGAATACTGCTGTTAGGAAAATAAGGGGATGGTTTGAAAGAGTTGGAGATCTGGGGTGAGGATCTTAGCGCAGAAGAGTCGGAGGGAGTTTGGGGATGCTTGGCTTGGGCGGGCACGTTGGTAAGGGAAGAAAGACACTGCTGGGTAAGCAACAAGCTTCAGGAGTCTCTCTAGCAGCCGCGAGATTTGCAAAAAGAACTCATGGGAAAATATTGGGTCATAGAAAATAAGTGAGAAAGTAGGGGTAAAAAAATAATGAAACCAAAAAAAGTCGTCCACAACATAGACTCGAACCCTCGGCCCCTATTCAGAACTCACAAATCCAGTAATTCAAAATGGCAAAATGATTCCCAACCAGCCCTGATTCAGGGGTGGAAGGTATAGGAAATTCAGGCTAAGGAGTACTACTGGCCCTTTTTCGCTGCGGTGTGCGTACCTAAGTAGAAGAGGCGGTGGGATCTTTAAACGCTTTCACGTCCCCGGTGCTTTCTTAGGTAGCCAGGAAGATTCGTGGTCACTCCTAACCACTGCACTAACTGGACTTAGAAAATAGGGCTGCTATTTTCATATCTAAACCAACCCCAAATTCGAATGTTCGACCACAAATTGTTCATGTTTGCTCGCCGAGTCGATCACAGCCGCTTCTTAACTAAAGGTTTCTGTGATGTTGTATCGTGCAATGCTATCGCTCATATTTGATTTTGGAAGCTGATGAGCTGCGTGAGAGGCACCAAATTATGTGCTTAAAGCTCCACGTTCGAACAGCGTATATACTTTTGTCTTGTTTTACGAGGTCATCACATAATCTCAACCATGTCGCAAGTCACATTTAATCATGGGGAAGCAGGGTATGTGTTTTGCGCAAGAACGCAGTGCAATATTCAAGGAAGGAACGGTCAATGGCATGTCCAGCACAAACTGCAAGCAGGAGCACCTTTAGGAGGTAGCAATTGATGGAGAGCTTGCCTAGTACTGCCCTTAACTTCTAGCCGAAGATCATTTGTCTTTCCAGTGATGTGCGTTGTTAGGTAGGTCAGTCTGAGAGGGATCATGGTTTGACGGCAATACAGAATGGGCAAAGATTGAGAGCCCATGCATCAATGTGGAAGCGTATTTGAGGAAAAGATGACAGAATCAACTCGATTGATTCTTAGTATGCTGGGTTGCTATGAATAAAGACTTCTATCATTCTCTGATGTCGGTTTGGATCGAGGCTAAGCGCCGAGCCGCCGGCTTTCGACTTCCGAACCCCCCGAGCCCCCACCTGCTTCCTCTGACTACTCACTTCCTACCCCCCTCAACAATGAAGATGGCGGGCATCGTACCGAAGACAATTGGTCAATATGAGCCCCCCGAGAAGATAAACAGCACAGTGTTGTGGTTCGAGCCCACGTTGAACAGACGAACGAAATACAAGATGATAACTTGAACCAAACGTACCCCTGGAAGAACCCCTCTATCACTATCACATGAAACAACGGTCCATCTCTGTCATGATCATAATTGTGGACATACTCACTGCCATGCGGCCTGACTCAGCGACAACAGATTCTGTACACAGTCCAGGTCCTCCACTCCACGCGGTCCGGATTCCTCCATGAAAGCTGCAATCTCATCATCCACTTCGGGGCCACTATTTTCCTTCTCTTCGCTGCTGGAGCTCTTCGTATTGGAGCGGCGAGATGTGGTGCTCTCACTGTTCATCATAGCGTCTAGGCTAGAGGACTGGCTGGGAACCCGGAAGCTCTCTTCCAAGATACAAACAGCCTGGTGAGAATGTCTAGGTCTGCGCCTTCGAGGGTTGCTGGACTGAGTGCCGGGTTCCCAATTCTCTTTGTCCGAGTCGCCTTCATACTCTTGCCACATCGCTGACTGCGAGGCTCCTTTCAACTTCTTCTCTCCTTCCTTCATAGCCTTCTGTGTCTGCCCATTGCTGTTGGCGGTCTGCAGTCTAGCAACCGAGGAAATGGCGCGAGCAAGTTTTGGTTTGCCGGTCCTTTGAACGTCTGCTTTCAATCTCTTGGTTGAGTCAGGCTTCTGGGAGTGGGCATTGCGCTTGTTGGGGTTGGGAGTCATGACTTTGTTGTTGTTACTTTGTGATCTAATCAATCCAATGGCCGCTGTGGCCGATCCGCTTTCTTCGCGTTCGGCTTGTTCTGTCAATGCGTTGCGAGCATCGCTGTCGCAGTAGAACTCCCAGGTTCTAGCATCTCGCGACCTCCCAGTCATCGATCGCCTGGTGTATAGAACAGGGACGACGTCAGAAACAGATTTGTTGGGAACGGATTTGTTGCCAGGTTCAAGAGCACTGTAGCTGCGTTGGAGGCTAGTCTTCGGTCGAGGGACTGGATTGATAGCTGTTGGTACGGGCTGAGAGCGTGGAGGAGATGGTGTATTCCCTGTGCGGGTGGTGACTTCGGCTTTTCCATCGAGTGACATCGACAATCTCACATGCGATGAGGCTCGTTTGAGGGTCTGTGCAGATCCTGAGACATCGCTGGCGCCTTTTGCTGGTCCAATCGAAGGTAGGCTAGATGCCAGCGACGATGGAGAGAGGCCATTCCTGCTTTCGTCATGGATCACAAAGGAAGCACTGCGGCGGTTCGCGAGATAGCCAGGGCGTCGTTTAGTTGAAGCTGTCTGGGATAAAGACCGGATCAGACTTGTGATCGAAGCTTGACCAGTGTCGTCTTTGTTGTCGAAGGAGGCTGATGTGCACGAAGGCTTCGCAGAACCTTCAGAAATGTTTCCTGGGCCTCGTGCCACATCGTTGCCTCCTAAGCTTCCTCCTATCTCCGGGAGAGTTGCTGACTCGTTGACAACCGCGTCTACCGGTGCCTTGACTTGCCACGTGGTATGGAGACTCTGCACCATTGACTGGCTGGGAAAGGCAGTGCTTTGACTCGAAGAGTGCTGC